GACAAAAGTTACCTAGTACGATGTCCCAAGCTGGTGGATGAAAATTCTGCATTTGGTCTTCCAGTTTATAGGCCTTTAAAATGAGCTGGACCTCAGGTATACATAAAACCTTCACAACACAAAGTACCTTTAAAACAGAGCTGATGTCTGCATAAGTTGAGTCAGACATAAGTACACCATGAACTGCGGAGAAGCCTCCATAAGAAACTTGTCATCATTGAGGACTCTAGCGGAGTGCATACAGAAATAAAGGCAGAAATGAAGCCTTCCCATGTGATCAAGAAGGAATCCAAAGCCCTTGATCTAGGCCTGGGGGACTAATAGATAGGCAAACGGTGATTCAGGCTGGTTGCAAACAGATTTATGTTAAGGTAGCTGAGAGTCTTGACGAAGTGTTGCTGGAAGACTGTCAAGGAAGCGGTGTACCAGACAGCTGTGGAGCTGTCAGTTGCAGTCCACAATTGGAAGTGTCTGATGGAGTAAAATCGTGTGATGGCGTCATGTCTGAGTTAGGGAAACCCTAAAGTCCTGTGCTGTTGTCAAGAGATCTAGGAGGACTTGCCAATCTTTCAGGCATACACTTGGGGTATCAGTGCCTGGTTCGTGTGCCACCATTCTTTTTGGACATTGATGAACACTAACCACTGTGTTGGAAGTGACCCAGATGTTGGAGTCAGCTCTGATATTTCAAGATTTATCAGCCAGCCCAGTTGAAGTAGTAGAGTAACTGGAGCTGGCGCATTTGTTCTGGTGATGGAGAAAGCAGTCATCCAGATAGGTGTGGAAGTGGAGACCACATGTGTGGAGGTAGACTGTGGTAAATATCGTCACTCACATAAAAAGCCATGAGGAAATGCCAAATGGCAGGACCACATGCTGGTAATGCCAACCTCCTTTGGAAAACCTGAAATATGGAGGATTGTATCCTGAAGGTTGATGCTGCTGACGAACTGCCCTGGGTAAAAGGTGGTCCTGAGAGACACCAATGTGGTTAACTTGAACCACAGAGGGCACTCCAGATAATCTCTGTTGAAGATGTCTATGTGAATCATTCTCCATTTGCTTGAACCCTTCTTGGGGACCAGAAACACAGGAGAATAGAATCCTTGCCCACTAGTGTTGACAGTACCTCTTGTGCCTGCTTCTGTGCTAGAATGTCTACATTTGATTGAAGCAGCATAATTTCCTCTAAGTTCCTTCCCTTGGGGAGTGGTGATGTTATTAATTGAGGCGCTGTGTGCCTGTATGCCTCTCCCACAAAAATGCTGTTTGCCGCTATTCAGATCTGAAAAAGGGACACTCTCTTTGGCTGGTAGGTGCCAGACTGAGTGCCTACATGGCGCTGAATAGCTTGAAGAGTCCTTGTGGGATCGATCATCTTCCTCCTTAGAAATAGGAGCTGGTTGGTAAACAAAGATGAGTGGACCATGGTTGATGGGTCAATCAATTATTATATGCAGCAACCTAGTGTGATGATGGCATAAGCCGAACGATTTTTGGGCCTTGCATATTAACAACCGACTGCAGATGTTGAACTAGGGCTAGCGTGTTCAACTCAAATTGGCTGCGGAGATCACTGTCACATAGATGGATATCAGAGAATGACGTAGCTCTGTCTCAACAGCCGCTAGTTTGGCGTCTGGCGTCTTAAAAGGCATAGTCTATGCAGTGAAAAACAACCTTCTTATAGGAAGCATCTTGAAAGGCCCGCGATAGTGACCCCAGGGTTTTTCTCTGACCCTGACTTTTTTTTGGGGGGGGGGGGCCTGGACCCCCAATAACTAATTTCAAGGGTCCTTGCAGGCAAAGTAATTTAATAGTGTAGTGTACTGTACTGAATCAATAATCATTTGGACAGTGGTCATAATTGATGGATGAAATAATAGAGTAAGTGCTCTTGATACACTGCAGGCATCATGAATATAAATGTGTTTCCTTCGGGATGCAGTAATATTTTCTTCTGCGTCCATTCTCAACATTTGTGTGTACTGGATGCACATTTAAGCGTTGTTTAAAACTCTGCAACCTGATGGGTAACCTGTCTACTATCCAGATCATCATCGTGGAAACGGCTCTCGTCCATATCCTCAAGGTCATCATAATCACAGGGTGCTTTCTGCTTTCCCTGCGCTGTTCCAAGTTCCCCTGCCATGAGGTAGAGTCCTGGTGCTGATTAGCATCCTCTCAAATATGATCGTGGTTTGGTTACCTGAGGGACCGAAGACATCATCTTAGCATGGAGTGTGTTGACAAGCTACTTCAATGATGCTTTGTGTAAAGTTGTACTAGTAGCTGCCGGAGTGGACAGTGGAACAGTAGTATGTGTAGCAGACAAGAAATCACCGATCTCATCCCTTGACATGGCTCTGTGATTTTCTGTGTAGATTTTTAATTCTGCAGCAGTCAATAGCAAACACAGTTCATACATGTATTAGTGTATTGTAGTGCACTATTGTTGGCAATTAGAGCACCCTAGACGTGGGTCCCACACCGTGTCATTCACTGTAACATACAAAACATTCTTCAAATTAAAGAAGTCCCATTAATCAGTTGACCATCAAACGAAACGATCAGAACCTAAAAATCAAACACCAAAGGTGAATGAATTTAAGAATAGAAATTAATGCCAATCAATGAGCATAAAACAAATCAGATGCGAGAGTGAAAATGACACATAGCAGATGACATGAAACAAAATGATGGCCCGATCGATATGATAATTTCGAAGAAGAAATCTCACACAAGCCACCCAAGACTTGAAAGTGATAACCAACAGCCTAAGCAAATCATCACAGATGTATCTAATACGAATATAGCCAATGCTTCACAAAGGATATAAAAGGGTGGGAGCTTCTCATGACAGGACTTGTCTCTGTCAGGGAAAAACAACAAGAGTGTCGTGATCAGCTTGGGTTGTGTGATGCCTGGTGTTTTGGCAATTTGTTTATGGAGAGGTTCTCTCTTAGTGGGAGATCTCTATTGGATTATATTTCAGTTCTACAGCAAGCGATTGCATTATTTATAATGCAGGAAAAGATAAAAATGTATTCTTCTAATGCAATACAATTTTTAACAAGAGTTTGCCACTAACGTGGCTATATCCCCCGCCCCTGTTGCAGAATTTATGACATAATTGAATCTAAACAAAACCTAACCTTTTTTAACCGAGTTGGAACTTGTTGTCATGGAAATAGTGGCAAACTCTTCTTTTTTTTACAAACGTGGCCATATCTCCTGCCCAGCAAATGAAATGTATATTATGTCAACAATAGTGAAATTTGATCACACAAACACATACATTTGAAAATATTCAAAATTATGTAAGGTGTAAAAGGCAGCAGGGGAGCATCTACTTGATGCAAAATATCCTGAAGAAACAAAATAAAATGCTTCAAAACACAATTTCTATGATGTTCAAGGAAAAAAATGAAACCTTCTCCACAAAAAACATGATGGAAGTACAAACTGACAAAACCAGTTCCTACATTTACTGCTGAATTCATTAGGGTGGGAGAAAGAAAAAACATTACAAGTCATGTACCGGCACTCACTGCGACGAAGTAGGCTGCCATGAGTGCCACACACATTCTATGTTGTGGCTTTTTAACAATATGGTCATACCATGTGATATGATAAAGTGAAAAATAAAACAAGACAATATCATAATTGTGAATGCTAAAACTCTACAGCACAAAAGTCTTCATAGCAACATGCGCTGAAAATTGTAAAAAGTTTCATAGAGAAGTATGCCATCTTATCACACACTCATCTCTGTCATAATCAATGCAGAAGTAGGGATGATGGATTTGATAATGAAGTCATTAAACAAAAGTTACACTAAACCATTATTAAGACACATACGGACAACTTGGTAGAAGGCATGTAGTTTCCCCTACTATGGGAGATACCTCAAAAAACAAAATGTAGGCACAAAAAAAAACTTTATTATGACTTATAAAATTCCTTAAACAGGTTATATGGGTATCAAGTTGAATTTTTTGGCATTTAAAAGAAGAATTCATAAATATCTAAAAGTTCAACTTGTTGCCATGGAAAAATAAAAAAAATATAAATTTCTAAAATTTCTAAATAGTAAAAGGCACCAGTTTAGCATGTACCTGACAGACCTGCAAAGTTTCATGAAAAAATATTGAACGGTTTATGAGTTATGCTCCGGAAACGAACCCTACCCTCACAGAACCTAAGTCCATCTTGTTGCCATGGAAACGTAAAAAATAAAAATTTCCAAAATTTCTTAATAGCAAAAAGCACCAGTTCAGCATGTACCTGACAGACCTGCAAAGTTTCAAGAAAAAATATTGAATGGTTTGTAAGTTATGCTCCAGAAACGAACCCTACCCTCACAGAAACTAGGTCCATCTTGTTGCCATGGAAACGTAAATAAAAAATATAAATTTCTAAAATTTCTAAATAACAAAAGGCACCAGTTCAACATGTACCTGACAGACATGCAAAGTTTCATGAAAAAATATTGAACGGTTTCTGAATTAGGCTCCGGAAACGAAACGTGATGGACGGACGGACGGAGCCCGTTTCTATATCCCCTGCCAACTTTGTTGGACGGGGGATAACAATTGTTTTGCAAACACCACATCAAAATCCTAATGACTGAACAAAACATTATGTCATCATAAGGAAAACCAAGTTCAGCATCCTCAGTCTGTCAATTTCAGAGAAACACCCCTGCAGTTTGAGAGAATTTAAGAGCATTACAGCGCATTTTGAACAAAAATTGCAGTGTAATGGATTTTTCAATATGTCTACCATAGTGCAGTGGCAATACTGAAAATTGGATTTGAACCTCGTGACCAAATGGGTTATCATCATTGGTGGGAACACGCACGTTACGTTCAAGCTTCATTGGGCGTGGAGGAGACAATGTTTACCAGGGATGAGTGACAAACAGGCCAAAATAGTCAAAATAGTTGAAGTCAAAATAGGCCTCTGGTTATGCTGAGTTACAATGATTGTAAATGTACCTTAGCAAAGCACCTCTCCATGTGTTTGAGTGCACCCCTCTGGTTGATCTCACCCCCACAAGTAACACAATATATGGTGAACTCTGTGTCATCCTCAGCTTCAGTTCCCTGCAGAGAGACAGTAAAACATGATGTACCAGCACTCTCACTGGTATTGAGTTCAATGAGTAAATCAAAACACAAGGTTATTACACCAAGATTTTAAACATGACTACATGTCTATCACAGATGACTGAAGTAAATATGAGAAAAGGACGCTTTTGGCAACATTGTAGTTGTCAACTTTATGTTTACTAATATATTTTAAGAGCAACATTCTGACATCATCAACACAACAAACACACATGGATCATATATCTTTACACAGTATGGAAAATGTTTATGCAATTGACTACATGTAGTTCAAAATGTGTAAGAAAGTTAAAAGGAGATCAAAGAGTGGCAATGAAAATCTTAGCTGGTAGTACACCATCATTTGACACGGATAGAGAGATTAACTTCATCAGAACAACTACAACCAGAGTATCACAACTTCAGGACCACCTTTTAAGTAATACTTAAGAGGACACAATGTTTTCAAATACAATTCTCAGATAATTTTGTGATGCCTTGAGTGACATATTTGTTGAATATGCTGTCTTTATTGGTCTTTAGCCAAACAGGATCGGGTGGTCAGGCTCGCCGACTTGGTTGATGCATGTCATGGTATCCCAATTGCATGGATTGATGCTCATGATGTCAGTACATACAAAGTCACATTCAACAGTCCTATTGCGATATCAATGATTCCAGTCAAATTTCAAAAGACACTAAGAACTATGAAATTTCTTCCTGATAAAACATACTGATATTAATTGGGAAAAGATGTTTCTACCACATGGCAAAAACAGAAGCAGCCCAAGACTCACCTTTTCCTAAATGCCCCAAAACTTTCCCATCATGCGCCATTTCCACAAATCAGTTGACCTCACACTTGTCTACATCTTAACAAAAAGACATCAATTCCCCTCACCCTTAAATATGGGCATAAAATCACAAAAAGTATGTCATACACTTCATTATATCAAAACAGGTTAAGCCTACAGCTTGTGAGTATGTTTTGTCAAATTCCAGTCATGAGTGCTCAAGATATTGTGCAATCAAGTTTGCTGGGACATGAAGTTCACACAGTCATCTTAACCTTCAACATCATCCTATTGCATGCGAGAACATTACTTGTTGCAAATTAAGAAGTCTCCATACCATCCTAATAATACCTCCTGAATGAAGTCATTTTATGAGTAAATGACCTTGAAACAAACTTGCCATTTGCCTGCCATCTTTGTTTTCTTCATGAGTTAATCTGAAATTTCCTGAAATTTGAACCATGTTTCATAATTTTGACCTCAAGTGAAAATGATCTTACATGGGGGGACATCCAAAGTTGGATTGAGACCCCGCCTTAGAGATATGTACATAAAGTTTGATCAAATTCCAATCATAACTGACATTATCCTGTACTAAAACATTTTTGATGCCTAATGAGTGACCTTGACCTTCATTGTAATCAAATGTCAGACATCAATGTTTCTAACATCTGTTATAAGCATGTGGTTGGCTGCTTAAAGTATATAAACTGCTTGTGTCCAGTATTCACCTATCACATCCACCAGGTACCTTGTGCTTGTTGTACGAACATGGTGTACATAATCACAACATGAAAAATAAGCATGATTAATCTTGTTTAAAAGTAAATCTTTCTTATTTGCACAACATGATTGTTTTGATGACAAGTAACAAGTGAGAAAAGCCTTTGTGGTATTTGAATGGAGTGGCTGAGAGATTTGTCTGTGAAAATGTAACTGGTCTAGCCAGAGCTTTATATCTCTGTGTTATGGGATTTCGGACACATAAAAAAACATTCATAGTTTTCTCCCTAATCACATCAACAACCGTCAAACATCTCCTTCACTTTTAAAAGACAACTTTCTCTTAAGGATCATCTGAGGATTTACAATGTCTTTGTGATGCTACATCCCTCTTCATAAGCGTGAGTAATCCTGATAAACATGGCCGTCTGAAAACATATGACCTCTGAAAACCTATGATCCGAAGATAATGCCATTTTTAAGATCAGCAATTATACAAGTCCCAGGACTGAACATGTGAAACTGCCACAGTAACTGACAATAATACCACCTTGTTTCCCAATAACCTCAAAGGTGACCTTGACTTGTGCAACCAACATGTGTAGGGTTTGCAAAGATAAATGCAAATGTAGCAGCCATAACATTTCCGAGTCCCGTGATGGGATTCGAACCACGGACCTTCTGATCAGAAGTTGGACACCTCGTCCACATGACCAAAGAGGTTAACCCCGTCAGCAAGCTGACAAGGTAAGGATGTCATCTGTGGGATGACTCCACTCCCTGCTACACAAACATTACGTTTCATGTCTCTGAAATGAAAAATGATATTGTCTCAATCTAATTTGGATACTTAGGACTAGGGCTGCAACGATACCGGAAGGTCACGATACGATACACATCTCGATATTCTGGTCACGATAGGATACGATACGTATCTCGATATGCAATGATAAAAAAAACAAGACTTAAAGCAAGTCAAGATTGAACCTTTCATGATTTTGGAAGTCAAAATTATTTTATAATAACAAGACTACTGAAGTTGTTCAGCCCCAAAGTGGAACTTTCTCTAACTTTCCTTAGAAACAATTCAAAGTTCAAACACCAGAAAATAATTAATGTACTCAACCAGTGATACAACTTCAAAGAATTTTGATTCAATGGTCGAAGAAATTGTATCTGAAATTATTGTTTTATCAGGAATAATATATTCCAATATTGTGTTACCTTAGTTGCAGCTTTTACTATATATATATTTAAAATTATAAGAACCACAAGTGTAGCATTTTGGTACTGGTGATTGCTGTTGCAGGATATTTTTACGTATGGAACAATTTGACCAGTCACGCTAGGGACTTCCTGTGCTACATGTATTTCGATTGTGAAAACGTTATGTTGACATATATTAGCCAAATTGCCACAAATATGACTTTTAACGAGTCAAAGTATGGCATTTTTAATATATGTATCCATTCTCTAGCAACTAAAGTTTTTTTCAATGCGTCAAAAGCGGTAATCTGACCGTGGTTGCTGTATCTCTTCACACACGATTTCACATAACTTAATGAAAACAATATTAAATGAAATTTTGAATAAAACTTTTAAAATATATTACAAACACAAGTCCAGATATACAGTGAACACGTTTTAATAACAAGATAGTATAATAATGGTATTGAATTGCGTACTTCAGTTCGGATTTATGACTGGTATTTCCTGTGTTATGTGCTTGCGGGGATCAGCTGATAATGTTTTTTGAGATGGGGAAAAACATCTGTCGGTGTAAAACCTGAGCTTATTAAAAATGTAAGTTCATTTTTGGGAGCCATGCATTACCATGCGCTATAACCAAGTTAGCGGTTTATTGAAAGGCACAATAGCGAGGAAACGCTGTACTTGAGATTTGCGTTCCGTATCGTGATGTATCGATAAATGGGCCCACGTTTATCGTATATCATATCGTGGGTCAAGTATCGCAATGCATCGGAATATCGGTGTATTGTTTCACCCTTACTTGGGACTCCCAATAGACGACTACAAATGAGTTCGAGACTACATGCTAAAAAAGAAGCAGCCCCTTTATCACAACTTGAAAAATATTATTTCTTGTGTAAAACATGGCCGTCAGTTGACCCAAGAAGGAGAACTAATTTACAAATGACCATTCCAAGCAATGATGATAGCTCAACACCTTACAACTTCAATGCGCCATCCAAAGGATGACATGTACCAATTTCTCCAAATAAAAATAAACACTTCTTGAGTTATCATGGACATAATATATATTTGAGAGTGAATTTGGCCTTCCACATCAGTCCTTCAAGATCATTCCCAAGAGCTATCCAGAATATATGGGAGTCCCGATGTTATGGACAAATAATCATTACTATTGCTGGTCATGTTACATGAGGACATTCATTTACTATTAAGGGAGATATACCAAAAAGTTGGGAGTTACTCTACAGGAGCTACAGATACTGATAGCTTGTGTTGTAATGATCTGTTGATGATGTCACAACCTCACTCAAAATGGTGACCTCCTTAAACAGTTGTTAGTTCAACCCCTGTTGACAGATGACCTACTGTTTGTTCCGGGTCTAAGGTGGAATGTTTGGCCCGCTCAATGATGGCATCCAACTCTTGATGCTTCAGGTCAAGGTCACCCAATTTCTGTCTGGCATCTAACTGTTGTCTTCGGATTTCTTCCAGCGCTTTTTTGTTGTTTTCTTCTGCTACACAAGGACTGCTCTGCCATTGCTGGATACGACTCGGCAAAATTTCATAGATTCGACTGAAAAGACATTGTGGCAAAATCCCAATTTCTAATGCAATCTGACATCAGTTAACTTCTACAAATGCTGGACCCTTCTATGAGTGTCTCTTAATAATGTAAGCTGTGAAGAGTAACTTTTTAAAGATATGTTAACAGACTTAGAATAAAAAAGTACCAAAGAGTAACTTATCTCATAAATAAGTAGAAAGGTGTGATTACATCCAGTTAAAATAACATAAGACATTTTCTGTGAATGACTCATATTAGTCCAGTAGAAACTGCTGATAACCTGGATATTTAGTACAAGCAGATTTTAGTGTGAAATGACATTGAAGCATCTCATTAAACACGATAAAAAACCTTGGAAAAAATTACTTTTTGGCTTCTTTATTAATCGGGGTCATTTGTGACAATTCATCACACTTTTGGCTCTAGTGAAATTGATCCACGTTCAATATAATGATCATTGCAGCACAGTGAATGATATTCAATTGGCAACCTTTATCTGGTATACATTGAAACAAGACTAAATATACTGAGATTCAAGAACTGTATTTCTAAGCTGTACATATACAATTCAATATATAGTATCTGAAAATATGACAGTACATGAATTTGGATATTCATGATAGTAGGCTTATCCTGACACAACACATTGCAGTTGAACCCCTTGCCCTTGGTTAGCATTCAGAGTTATCTGTCTTTGATGCCTCAAAACCTTCTCATCAGCACAGCTTGATGTCCAGATGTGATGTTGCTGGGACAGTGCACCATTAAGGCACAAAAGATGAGGTATATTTATACATCCTTACTACCCCAACAACACAGTCTGAGACTTAGCACATTTGTGATACATGATGCGGAACAGTCAACTACTGTGCCAATACAAGTGGTCCAAACTCATACAACCTCCAGGGGTATCCCTCAGTTAATAGTTGAAGAAGGTACTGTCCTTTCACCCAAAACATCGCTTGATGACATCTCCAACTGAACATTTAACAGCGGACCCTTGGTCGTGCAAGCTATGGTTGTGATTCCATGGGAATTATGTACATGAGGATAAACCGATCACCCTGAGTAAAAATGCCTCAGCTTTGGTCAAATACACTTGAGGAGGGAATAGCCATTTCCACTGCTTCTTGGTTGATTTTGTCACTTGTCTTGGTTTTTCCCATACACCTGTTAACAGCATGTTGCATTCGGGAAATCCATGCCCAGTTCGACAGGGACCAGATGCCAAGGTTCACATGGGCCTTAGGCAGCGGACGATCATCAAAGTTTCACAATATCACAGCTGTCATCAGTACTGGGTCATGGAGATACTGCTGACTTGTCATTATGTCCAGCATTTGCATGCAATACTTGGTATTGGGTCAAAGGCTGAAGTCTGTCTTACCTATCAATTCGTACTACGGTTGTAGGACCACCCCTAAGTCCCAGGATGCAGGTCTGAAGAGCTTCTTTTTCAGGTGTAAAGCTCCACAGCATAGCTGTTATCTCCGGCATTGTATGGGACCTAAGAGCTGTTAGGCCTTAAGTGATGGCTACAAGTCTCTATGGCATCACCCTATCACATTTTGGCTGTTTGTAAAAATAGCAAGTAGTATGTGATAAACTGAGACATTGTCCACAGGGGATCCACCCCTTTACCTTAAAGTAGAATTCCCTTAAAGGAAGAATCCCTTTGGTGGAATTCCTGTGTGTCCACACAATGGCCTGTGCTTCTTTGACAGTGCATCCACTAGCCGTTAATAGCTTCAAGATGTGAAACGTGCATAGCCAATGATCTTGGGCTTCCTGCATGGATTGACAAGTCACTTCTACCTGGGTGGAAGTTCCATGCCTGATATACCTAATATTTTTAGAGTGAGTGAGTGAGTATCTTCCAGTAATATCACACCAGAAATGGGCTTCACACATTGTACCCATGTCGGGAATCAAACCGGGATCTTTGGCGTGACAGGTGAACGCTTTAACCACTAGAGTACCCGACCTCCCTAATATTTTTAGAGATATGATCCAGAAAAAATATGGTTATGGACCGATAGAGGGATGGACTGACAGACAAGCTGTTTACTATATCCATTCGTATTACATACTGGGGGCATAACAAACTAAAAATATAGATGCCACATCACACTGCCAAATAAGCCTTGAAAAAATGACCAATACCAAACTAAAAAACTATTTCTTATTTTTCTCGTAAGTTGGTAACTTTTCATCAATTTCACTTTGTCCAACATGTTTCATAAGATATTAAGCATAAATAGAGAATTGTAAAATATCTTTGTACTCATACTATAGTTGATAAATACTGCAAGTAAACTTTTTTTGTTTGTTGACATAACATGCTCCATCTTGGATGTTGCCATGACAGCACATACTACTAGATGGACAACGTATTTACATGATCAAATGCAGCATTCATCAAAAGTTGCAATGACCAAAATAAAGACCCCATTTCCCAAGGGTCGATTTTTGTGTGGACTTTTTCCAGGCTTCATTGTCCTTGGTGAATCTCAGTTTCAGAGGAACTTGTTTGTTATACGAAATGTCCAGGTTGAATTATTTTTATGTCATGTGTACTCGTCTTTAAGTGAAGGATAAAACACGTTCCGAGGTTTTGGTTGAAAATGTAAACCCGCCTGGGAGGGAAGATCCTAAGGGCCGAATTGAGATACGCAATAACGAGGATCTATATATGCGATATAACGAGACTATCAACGCATCCGTGAGCTATGTTGAGTGACGACTACAGGTGTCATGCACGTGCTGGTCGTGCACGCACGCATTGCCCGTGAGCGTCTCCGTCATAATGTGGACAACTTACAGTCAAGTTTCATTTAGTGGCAAGATGTGGGAGAGAGAGGAAGGTGACGATTTTTTTCTCACACAAACGAAAACTAAAAATGCAGATCACTGTGACGAAGAACGGCCCGATGAAGATGAATTTGTGTTTGTAAATGTCAACTTCAATTAAAGTGAAGAAAATCTAGTATTGCGGGGTGTTTTTAAAAATAAAGGGTATGGAAGTCCTCGGGACTTACTGTGGACATCTTCCCGAGGCAAGAGAGTTAACTTTAAAAGACCAGTTTCCACCCTTGCCAAACTAGGCTGGTATTATGGAGTTACATTTCGGCTGGACTAACGAGTCTATGCATAGTCCAATCAAAATCGCGAACCGACAAAGACTATTTATCATTTGACTCTAAATTGTGTGACAAATTCAGGGATGTATGAATCGCAGCTGAGTTTGAAAAATAGGTGATGTAACAGGCGTCTTATAACCAGCATACGTGAACATGGTTTTGTAAACATTGTCCAATATGGCGGAAAGTTACTTAAGTGTTAGTGTTTGCGTATTTTCCAAAACATTCTAAATGATTGAAGGGTTATCGGCCACGTTTCACAATGATAATTGGTGATTTGATAAAAAGAAGAAGAAGAGATATACCTGAGATCACCAATATACTATTTTTTTAATGAGATTTATGATGTTTCTAATTTTTCTTTTGGTCATTATCAGAAATTTTCCCTTGCATAAAATGAGATTAAATGACATCACATAATATGTGTGCTTTATGTATTTTAAAGCTCTCAACACTACTGTCGAACCACCCACAAACAAAACTCACCATATCTATTTACCAAGAAGGCTTTGCGTTACATTTAAATTACGTATGGCATGCATAAATGCTCAGCTTGCTCAATATCGAAACTTTCAGAAGTGTATTTACCTCAAAAAGAAAATATCGCGAGTTTAAAAAGTTTCAGCCAAACTTCGCGGCACACAACTACCAGAAACGGCCATTGTTGACTTTTGGCACTTCACATTGAGCGGCATGCAGTCAGATATTTTCTTTATAATGTTATCATTTTTCACATTCGATCATAATTTATTGTTTGCTGACGAAGGGAAAACACTCAAGTTCCTTAATTTTTTAAAATTAGCAAGTTTTGAAGTTATTATTTATAAACAAAAACAATCTGAATCGTAACATCGTCGATTGGATGAAACTTGTACGATCATGGCAACTGCAGTAAACAAACAACTCCACTTGCAGGGAGTAGTGCACTTTACCGGACGCACTTTTTCAGATCCAATTAGCGCTGTGGGGGCTCGAACGCGCTTCGCCGGCTCGCCGGCTCACCGGCTCTGCTAATTAATGCGTTACTTAGCCGACGCTCTACCACTGGACTACAGGCGCTATCACATGTAATCAGTGCTCGTTTTAACAGGTCATTACAATCCTCATTGACATGCATGCGTAATTCAGTAAACAATGAATTGTGCATGACATGCATGCGTAATTCAGTAAACAATGAATTGCACATGCGTGTGACGTCACTGCCCGCTTTTCTTTTCTTGAAACCACACCCGCAATTGTTTATGTCAACATGACCGACCAATGGGATTAACTGGATTAACGCTTGAAAAGGTAAGAATTTATGGCTAACCCTTGCCCAAAGCCAGCTGACCCTAATGACCGAAAAGGGGTTTAGGATCGTAAAGACGTGTAGGTTTCCCGAAGACCTAGAATGGGGTGTTTGATCATAAAGATGTGTAAGTTTCCCTAAGACCGAGAACGGGTGTTTGATTGTAAAGATGTGTAAGTTTCCCTAAGACCGAAAACGGGTGTTGGATCGTGAAGCAAGAGTCACCAGAGCGTGAGGCACGGTAACGGTATAACGAGACAGCGGTGGCACTATAGCGCGGTAATTGAGTGGATGGTAGAGGTCGGGCTGCACCCGGTAAACTGCATTGTTGCCGAAATAAGGATTGGTGAATATTTAGTCATTTATTGTTTCCTGCAAATTTGATAACGTGACATGTTAGATTAACTCGAATGTTCGTATTTCTGCAACTGACATGGTGACCTCGAAATTTTTATTTTTTTTCTGTTTTGATAATAAATTTACAGAAATGGTTCATAATTTACCATCGCGCTGTTATTTACCAATAAAAAACATCAAAATTATACTCAGTTAAAATTAAGATATCGGAGATCTGATTATTGAAATCAATTTGCACAAATTTAACGATTTAAAAAGGTTCCTAACATGAAACGTAAACCACCTTCAATAACGTAATTCAGGCAAGATCACGAAAATTTACAAATTTTGTGTTCGTTTTGGTCTTAACCTTGGTATGATTGAAAACATCAGGATTTTTTTACATAGTAATGTGTATTTTTCTCTCAGGAATAAATGTGCAAAATATTTCTTCAATTGGCCCTTGTATAATGAAGCACCAACTGTTTGAAATCACCCACCCTCTTTACAGCGCCTTATGCTTAAATTAATCCAGCAGGCAGGGCTAAGAAGTGTGAAAACAATTCAGCAGGCAAAAGGTATTAACTGTATTCGACTTCAAAGTTGGGGTAGAAGAGGAGGGATATATTTGTCCCTGTGGTATCCTGGGGGTAATGCCAATATGTAAATTAGTGTTTAATGAAACCTTGATTGAAAATAAAACGTTAATTTATTGTCTGACATGCAGGGCAGAGAATTGGGAAATGTTCCACTCAGATATTCCAAATGAAAAGTAGTTCTGGTGAAATATCGTGAAAACGTCAAAAGGTGAAGATTATACTTTGCAAACGTCGCTTTATGAAGTTTGTTGAAAAATGAAATGGTCAGGTGATAAGCGAATAAACCAATCAAATCATCGGAAATCCCTTAACTTCAAAAGATGAATTTATAACACATTATATAACAAATATCCCTGGGATGTTATATAAAATCCTTTGGATATTACAACGTCCCTGTTAATGAGATTTAACCCGACAGGAGAACAATAGGATGACGTCACTGGAAGTCTATAAGTATGTCGCAAGATATATTTTAAGTACCAAACATAATATGAACACTTCATTTACAATACTCAAAAAGGTTAGAAAAAAAAAAGTTAGAAATATGTGATACCTGAGTAGAACCATAAAAACTAATGATAGTTTCATGCTTCTGGTGTTGAAATGTGTTACTGACCTCTTGGCAAGCTTGAGGCCACAATCATCAGAGCAGTATTTGGAGCTGGGTCGAGCTGCCTCAGTACACCCTGGTCCATTACACTGCCTTGCCTCCTCTTCCTCTATGTCAACAAAGTCTTCAACATCAGTGTAGCGGCGTTTCAAGGACGACACAGATTTCTCTTTCAATTTCTGTGAGTAGAATTAATATAAAGCAAGTGCTGACGAATACATTTGTGTTGGTATGATACCTTTGTTGTGATATAAGATTATTTTGATGGAAATGTTTTACATACCACTCCCTTTTTTGATGGTGAATGTTTGTGTTTTTCTTTCTTCTTCTCCTTCCTTTTGTCCTTCTTTACTTTTTTGCGAGGGGAGCCAGTATCAGATGAACTTGACCGCCTATCACGTGCCTGAGATGATTAGAGAATTCATAAGCTTTGAGAAAATATGTGAACTTAACCAAGGCTTGTAGGAACTTTAAATTATAGCTCTTATGGAATTATGAGCATGTTTATAATGATAATAAAATAACCATGCATAGTTCTTGCTACTTGCATGTATTACTTTACTTATGTTTAATTTTGTTGGTGTATGTGTGTTATCTTGCGGTTAGCATCAGTTTGCCAATCAGGCATTGTTTACAATAGTGACGACAGAACTGGCTGTGACGTACATATTATGCAGGTCATGCTGGCCTGGCTTGTACCAGCTATCTATTTCCCTTCTCTAAGATACACTGTTAACCTGTACAGTTTATTGCTTAGACAACGGCTTGTGCCCTCGACAGCCCTCTGTCATAATCTAGAACTATTTGTTTTGATAAGAATTTTGACAAGGGCTTGCGCAGATACGAGCTTCCTCTCAGGAAGCTTACAAGCCTTCCTCACACACATGCGCAGTCTGTACATGTCCGCAGCCATTGTTATCAGTTGTAAACAATGACAAGCAGTTTCCACCACCTCCCCAACCCCCTCCCATAGCTAAACACATTATTGTCATACCTGATACTGTATTAAGTTTAAATTCATCTCACTTTATGTATCATACTCAAATTCGGAATTCTCAGGCCTTACTATCCTACTCAGCTTGCTTTGGATAGTTCTCCTTAAAGTTGAATAATCCATATCCAACTTGTATGCTAGTTGTAACCTCATTTATTGCATCATTTTGTACCATTCAGTGTAGTCACTCGCTGTGCTCTGATGCTCAGAAATATAGCCAGCGTTTGATCCCAATGCTTAGGCATGATCGATGCTTGATCATGTACACACTTAGTCTTGTGCCAACAATTTAGCCATCCAGTTTTGCGTTGTCATGTTAGTATTTGCAAGTTGCTAAATCGTTTCTAATGTTTGGCATGAGTGACGCTCAATCATGGGCACCCTCAAGTCATACCTGAGAATTCCCCATACGCCAAACTTATCATTTTTATTTTATCATAATAAATGTTTGAAACTACTTTGTGTTTGGTTGTCATTATAAATGTTAATTTAAATATTGATTGTTGTGTGGGTTATGTTTTATTATTACCCAAATGCGGTCTTCATCTTGTCTATCAACTGTAACAAAGATCACCCTTTGTTTCAATTTGTAGATAGATAGATAGACAGACAGACAGACAGACAGACAGACAGACAGACAGATATTTTATTTACGTCTCACTGTGTGTACAGGCATACATAAATACATAGATAAAAAAATTTAAAATATACACACACCATTCCTTTAGGAATTATGAGAGACTAAATCTAAAATATATACAACATATGTATGTAAAAAACAGCTGTTAAGTACAAGTTCTCACTTATGCATTTTCTTGAGACTGATGAGTAAATGGTATAAATGTATGAATAAATAATGAATTTGTAAATAGGAAATAAAAAACTGTGTATGATTCTTTGGATGATACAAAACTACACACTTGAGGATGATCTAAAACAAATGAATAATCCTTTGTGTAACTGAAACTGACTAGAATCATCGACCACTACCAAAGGAAAACCTGTTTGCCCTAGCGGTGTACATGGTATTGAAGAAGACATCTGAGTTCTGTGTCAACACCAAGGATTCATCCACCCAATATCAACATGTTAGTGGTCTTCCAGATTAACTGTGAGTTGTAGAATGGTGAGATATGGAATAAACATAAGTACAATTTTGTACTTTGCACGAAAGTGATCGGTTTTGATATTATTTGGTCAAACGTAAGAGCTGTACAGTGACAGCCAAAGGGTTTGCATATGGACATTGACAGGTATGTATTGTGGAAATATTCATTTCATTGTCGCTAAGAATGAATTGTTTTTCTGTCATGACATTAATCTCTGGTCATGGCCATGCACTTAGTGATCATGTGGCTTGTTGATTTAAACAATATTTATTTCCCAAAACAGTAATTGGTAAACAGGCAAAGCCTATTTAAACACCTCTCTCTACAAAGGACATTTAACAATTAATAAGAGTAAACTGTACATAACGTAATAAATTTAGATATATTGTACCTACTGTTGCAAATATAATGATGCGAATATACAAGTCACACAAATACACACATACATATATCGGTACATAACCAAACCAGTGCATCCATGCATATGTACATGTACACATACCGGTATGTATATGTACACATATACCTCTACATACCAGCATGTCACACATACAAATAACTATTTGATTGATGTAATCGTAAAGAAGACATATTTAAATTATAAATTTTTTAGATTTTGCAAAAAACAAATGAAGAGATTGTACAATAGCAAGGTTAGTATGAGTAGATGTTGTAGCATTTCCATATAATACTGAATCCAAGTCATATCCCTTTATATAGTAGTACATATTGTTCCGAAGATTGCAGTAGTTGCGACATGAAAAGAAATAATGTGTAGGATCCTCATAATGATATCCACAGGAGCAGGTAGTAGACTCATGAATATGGCTATGATATTTGTGTGCATTTAAATCCCTGCATCCTAACCTGAGGTGGGAATGGATGATTTGAAAGAAACAGGTACAATAATCTATAGGATTTTCTGTTGTGGTGATACATTTAGTGACGTCATATACAGTGTTTTGACTGAACATTATTCGGTAGTGCATTCTACATTCGCACTGTATCAGGTGAAAGTGATGTAGTAGTTAACTGTTCTAGCATTTACAGTCTGTAGCTGTGAAGAAGGTCTTAAACTGTAACATGCGCCTGCTGAGACATTAGGAGGAACAAGATTACATAGATATTTAGGGGCCAACTTGTTAACCATTATGTAAAATGTTTTAAATTTATGAGATTGACATCTTTTGGATAAGGGTGTAAGGTTAGTTTCGGAGTATATAGACTCGTGATTGGTACCACGAGTAGCTCCACATATTGTTCTCAGTGTGTCTAAATTCAGCCTTTCCAATACCAACGCTTGTTCTTGAGAACAATTATCCCTTACCTGGTCACAAAAGTCGAATATTGGGAAAAATAAATGATAAATATATATTCTCTAAAAAATTTCTGGACAGGTGGTATTTGAAAGTTCCAAAGCAGTTAATCATTGGGCTTACTTTAACTACTAATTATCTATATGATTTGACCAGTAGCCATCTTGCTGTAAAATTAGACCTAGGTGTTTGTGCAATGAGATCTCTGTTCTTGGTATACCTTTCATTTTAAGAATGGGTTTTAGTCTTGGGTAAATTTTCCTTGAAAACATTTAAGTGACAAATAATCTGCAAAGACACATATATTACTGTTTATATCATCAACCAGGTCATCTATAAAGATAAAAAATAATAATAATCCTAGGACCGATCCCAGTGGAATACCCACCATGACAGATTTTAAGTGTGATGTTTTGGAATTTATAAGTGTTCTATTTGATAGATAACTGTCAAACCATTTCAACAATTTACCTCAAATTCCACATGAAGATAATTTATAGAGTAATCCTTCATGCCAAACTTTATCAAAGGCCTTGCTAATGTCACAAAACACTGCCTTTACCTCTTTTCCATTGTCTGGAGCCTTTGAAATAAAATTATACAGATTTATTAATTGATAGCTGGTGGAATTGCCTGGAATAAAGCCTGACAGGAGATTGCTCATAATACTGTTGTCTTTGAAGAAGTTAAACACATGTTTACGGATACATTTTTCAAACACTTTTGCCAAACAACTTGTTAGTGCGATTGGTCTATAATTACTCCATTCGCCTACATTTCCTTTTATGTGAATTTGCGATACAGATGCTAATTTCCATTTTGATAGAAAAACAGAATATTTTAAGTGACATGTTAAAGATTAATGATAATGGGAGGTATATACTTTTTGCAGAAACTTTGATGAGTTTGTTATTTATACCGTCAGGTCCAGGTCTTGGTGGTATCAACAGAATGTAAAACGTCTTGAATTTCCCCTGGAGTGAGGACAATATGGTCCAACGTGTTAAAACACTCAATACTTACAGCCGGCAATGTTTTTGACGGGATTCGACTGTTGATTGTTGATTGTTCAGAGAAATAGTAGTTTAAAATATTTGCTTTACATACATCATCATCATCAGATCATAGATCTTATCTTTATATAAAATAGCGGGAAAGATAGTATTTGGATTTTTGTTTTTTTAAACAAGAGGCCCATAGGGCCTGTATCGCTCACCTGGATATTGACACAATCATGACAAAATATACATTTGCATTGCACATGTATATAATACTGCAAATATTTCGTAATTTTGATCATGTCAGCATTTAAAACAGGTGGATGGCAAATCTGACAGCATGAACATGTATTTCTCTTGATACAAATATAGCATAAAGATCTGAACCGTTTACATGTTATGATCCAGGATCTAAGTTTCCAGAGGCAAGGCTGGACCCCAGGGCGAATCCTATTGGCATATATGTATTATTCTCTTCATAATGAACAAGTGTTTATAATGAATCTGTTTAATATAGGGTGGGAATAATGTCGGTTTGCATGTTATGGTCCTTTGGGAGTGCTGGACAGATGAACAGAAGGGCCACCAATCCCTGGTAGCATATGTGCATTCCACTCATTATACTCAGGAATTGTACGTTATATGGTGAGGATCTAACTGTGTTATAAACCCTGGGTGTGGGAGGGGGTCAGCCCCTTCATTTGTACAGTTGTGAATTCCCACCCCCTGAGAATACTTCCAACCAAATATGGTTGATTTCCATCTCCAGAGAAAAAGTCATTTAAAGCAATATTGCCAAATTACCTTTTTAGCCCCGCCCCTCACCAGGGGTGGGGATCGTTGTGGGGTTCAGCCCCTCCATTTCTCAAATTTGAATCCCCATCATTGGAGAATGCTTCCAACCATATATGGTTGATATCTATCTCTTAGTTCCAGAGAAGAAGTTGCTTAAAGCAATATAGCCAAATTACCCCTATTTGGCCCCGCCCCTCAGCCCCTCCATTAGCACAATTTTGAATCCTCAACACCGGAAAATGCTTCCAACCAAATATGGTGGATATCTATCCCTTGGTTCCAGAGAAGAAGTCGCTTAAAGCAATATAGCCAAATTACCCCTATTTGGCCCCACCCCTCAGCTCCTTGGGGGGTCAGTCCCACCATTTGTACAATTTTGAATCCCCACCACCTAGGGATGCTTCCAGTCAAATTTCGTTAATTTCCAGTCAGAGGTTCAGAAGAAGAAGTCATTTGAATAAATTGTTGACATACGTACAAGGGGGATGGAAGGACGACAGACGCCACGGTATTGCATGAGCTCACCTTGGTCCTTTCGGACCCGGTGAGCTAAAAAGCGCTTCACCATACTCCTCGGGAAATATTAACTTTTCTTCTATTTTTTTGCAGTAATTTTGTTTTGCAATTCTAACAGAGGTGACAACTTGATTTCGTAATTGTCTAAAGGTTTTCCAATCCAAGAGATATTTTCTCTTTTTTGCAGTTTTATGTTTACGACTGCGTTTATGCATTAAATGACAGATGTCATTGTTCATCCACGGATTGTCCTTACTTATTGTCTTATTGGGGACGCAAACGTCGTAGCTTTTACAAAGTATTGAAGTGAATTCTGTTACTGCATCATCTACGCAATTGCTACTAATTAACTCGTTTCAGTCATTATTGAGATCTGCTGATAGCCAATCAACATCAATGTGATTAAATATTTTTCTGGTATCTGCAAATTTTGGTTTACCGGCACATGTAGCCAGGTCAATCCTTCAGCGCGTCTGTACTTATGCCAAAACAGTTCATCTCATCTGTGGTACATATCCGGATGGACCATCAATCAAAGATCAGGAGCATGACAATCTTGGTTGTTCACTGATGCATTCTTACAAGATCACCGGTCCTCTACAGAAAAGACCAGCTGACTTCCAAAATGCCTCGAAATCTGCTGATTTCAAACGGGAATTGCTTTAAGATGAGTGGCTCAGTTCAAGTTATGCAAGTATTCTGGAGGGCCACAAGCTGTATTATGCAACTGGACAGGAATGCTTCCTCTTCCCATCAAATGGTAGACAGGTAGAGAGGATAACAGTTAACGACCTCGGGTGTACCCATGAGGAGGCCGACACAAGGCTAGTGTTTCACGCAAACTTCGTTGCTGCCTCTGAGGAGATGCCTGGAGTGGTGGTCCGCAGCATCGATACGGATGTATTCATTCTTCTGCTATACCACGCGAAATATATCAATGCAAAGTTGTGGATGGATGCAGGAGTGAATTCGAAGAATTCGCCTCATTGACATATGAAGAGGAGTCTGATGACGAATAGTATCATTGAAGTCAACAACATGATAACTGCATGTCACTGCGGTTTTATAGTGATGACTTATTGTCTGGTAAATAAGTTTTAATACCGAATATCAGATCCTCATATGGTGGCATTAGAGATGGCAGATGGGTAATTTGGGTGTTCCAAGATTAACCTGATCTATCGTTGTTCTTGATCCTTTATTTAGGACAGAAGACCATATATGGTCTTTCAAGTTGCCCTTGTTATGTAGGCCATATTTGTTCATTGCTTGAATAAATTCATTACAAGTGGATGCAATTTTTGTGCATACTAACAGACCTTTGCACCCTTGTTGGACCCTTGACCCTTGAACCCTTGGTTACCCAGGAAAAGATTACCATAGGCCTACTTCGCAGTTTATCATAATTTCATCCTGTATTCAACATAACTTGGCTACAACATTTCCACCGCATATGTGGATTCGTATGGAAGTGCCATCTGGTGGTGAAAATCGTAACATTTGAGACATATCTGGGCTGAGAGCTAAAAATGCACATTATCTACAGTGCTGTGGGCTAGCCTAACCTCAAGATATTGCTTCAAAAATGGTTTTAAAAACTTACCTGGCATCTTATCTAATAGAACATATTCACTTTATAAAAATATTTGTTGTCTTTCCTACTAAACTGGGCTTGGATAAGAAAAAAGGCGTAATTTTTAGCTCAATGGTCATCACGTGACCTTTGACCCCCCTACTGACCTGTAAAAAGGTCAATGTGCATATTTCATGATTGGATCGAATGGAGCTTACCACGATGTTCATTTTGACACCTAGATCTCTTTTATAGGTCCATTAATAAGAGCGCATTTCAATTTTGAAGTTGCCCTACCCCACTTTTTACGCCAGATAGTCCATACCGGCAAAATGAGAGAAAAGGGTTAATTCTGGCTACATGCCCCGGCTGTGCCATTCAAGCAGTTCTGTTTTGGATACCCCATGGGATACCCCTTTCAGAAATACCAATGAAAGACTCTCTCATTTCATGCAGATAAATGGCCCCTGGCTCCTGGACTATCAAGTCCAATAGTAGTTCATTGGTGCATGCATTTAACGTATAAACTATTCCTGACATACATTGTGATGCCACCAACTCTAGTGTTGCCATTAAGCCTAAACGGTAAATGATAGCCAGGAATAGAGACTTGACTATCCGGAATGCCAGGATTGGCTTGTTGTAGATTTGTTAATGAATGAAAAGTGTACCTTTTCAGCCAAAATTAAATAATTTGAAAGTACTGGAAAGTGAAAATTTCTCACTGAGAAATATGTAATCGAAAAGTTAATCCACTCCCAGATGGATAATAATGAAGCAACAACCAGCAATATTCCAGCTATATGATGGCAGTCTGTAAATAATCAAGTCTGGGTCAGACAGTCAGGTGATTGGTATCATTAGCATCGATCCACACATTTGGGATACAATGACATGCATCAACCAAGTCAACAAGCTTAATCCTGTGACTAGCCTCTTACGACAAGCATTGGTTGCTTCACGGGTCTCATGAAATAAGAATTATGTGCAATCCAAAGTGATTGTTTACCATGTGTTTGTACTATATTAATCTCTGTCAAAGACTTCATAATGTTCATATGTTAGAAAATTGTTTCCTGAAAACCTTAAATTGTCTTTTTTGTCACATGTGAGCCTTAAAACTGTACAAGGTAATGCAGATCACTATGACCAAAAAGAGTTCTGACCACAACTCATCATTGTGACAAGATCTTCACGAGCAAAATAACTATGCAGTACTACATGGCTAGTTCAAAATGTTGAGAAGCCAAAATTCATTCACTACTATAATATTGAGAACAAAATGTTTGAGAGATGCAAGTTTGCTATGAACAGTTTATTCATACCTTTGGTGTTCTGATCCTGTTCTCAGCTTCAAAGTCACAGCTATCATCCAGGTCCTCTTCATCCTGTGTCCCCCTGAACACAAACCATGCCACTGTCAAATTACACATCAAATCTCACCTTGTGTCCTCCTGAACACAAACCATGTCACTGTCAAAATACACATCACATCTCACCCTGTGTCTCCCTGAACACAAACCATGTCACTGTCAAAATACACATCACATCTCACCCTGTGTCTCCCTGAACACAAACCATGTCACTGTCAAAATACACATCACATCTCACCCTGTGTCCTCCTGAACACAAACCATGTCACTGTCAAAATACACCTTACAATAACTCACCCTGTGTCTCCCTGAACACAAACCATGTCACTGTCAAAATACACATCACAACAACTCACCCTGTGTCCTCCTGAACACAAACCATGTCACAGTCAAAATACACATCACATCTCACCCTGTTTCCTCCTGAACACAAACCATGTCACTGTCAAAATACACCTTACAACAACTCACCTTGTGTCCCCCTGAACACAAACCATGTCACTGTCAAAATACACATCACATCTCACCCTGTGTCTTCCTGAACACAAACCATGTCACTGTCAAAATACACATCACATCTCACCCTGTGTCTCCCTAAACACAAACCATGTCACTGTCAAAATACACATCACATCTCACCCTGTGTCTTCCTGAACACAAACCATGTCACTGTCAAAATACACATCACATCTCACCCTGTGTCTTCCTGAACACAAACCATGTCACTGTCAAAATACACCTTACAATAACTCACCCTGTGTCCTCCTGAACACAAACCATGTCACTGTCAAAATACACATCACATCTCACCCTGTGTCCTCCTGAACACAAACCATGTCACTGTCAAAATAGACATCACAACAACTTACCCTGTGTCTCCCTGAACACAAACCATGTCACTGTCAAAATAGACATCACATCTCACCCTGTGTCTCCCTGAACACAAACCATGTCACTGTCAAAATAGACATCACATCTCACCCTGTGTCCTCCTGAACTAAAACCATTTCACTGTCAAAATACACATCACAACAACTCACCTTGTGTGCCCCTGAACACAAACCATGTCACTATCAAAATAGACATCACATCTCACCCTGTGTCTCCCTGAACACAAACCATGTCACTGTCAAAATAGACATCACATCTCACCCTGTGTGCCCCTGAACACAAACCATGTCACTGTCAAAATAGACATCACAACAACTCACCCTGTGTCCTCCTGAACACAAACCATGTCACTGTCAAAATAGACATCACATCTCACCCTGTGTCTCCCTGAACACAATCCATGTCACTGTCAAAATACACATCACATCTCACCAGAGTCCATATAACAGAGGGACGGCCCTCCCCAACAGTTTATCATAAACCATCAGCGCTACGGTCTGGCATGTAACTGATACATCCCGACACCCTGCTGTTAACCTCTCTGTACCGCTGCAGATGGGCAGTAGATGCGCAGACATTCACGACTGACCATTTTTTTATGATATCTCCTTTTAACCCATGTCAGTTGGCTGCAAATTATTTGCTGAACATGTGTGTCTTCCAGAACATTTATTTCAATTTACATTCGCCACAGCCATGGACGACTTCATTAACTTGGACGATTTCGTCTTTGACCTAGATATGCCACTTGAAGAATTCCCTCTCTTCGACCAGGGGTTGGTTTCGGTGACTCTTGGTCTAAATAGAATGACAGTGATGTTACCGCTACCAAGCCGTTGGTAATACCTCCCAAAACGTTTCACTCAAAGAAAAAGATAGGAAATGAAAATGGGTTTTTCAGATTAAAAACGATGTTTTCTTGGTCTGTTTTCAGTCGTACAAATGGGCATCTCATACCTCTAGTCGCACGTTAAAAGGAAGCCAGAAGCTGGAATGTAAACAATAAACTTGTTTCCGTCCGGTTGCGCACGCACCTCCCTATGACATGCCACAAATCTCGAAGAATAAGCCATCAAGCAGGACTGGACTGGATTACTTCCCAGTGGGGATGGCTGGGTGGGAATGTACGACTGAAAACAGACCAATAAAACATCGTTTTTCATCTGAAAAACCCATGTTTTAGTCTGTTTTCAGTCGTACAAATGGGTAGAATTCGACGGAACACTGGAAGGAGGGTCGGGAAAGTAATCAGGAAGTGACCTCTTTCACGTCGAATGTACCAAGTTCCTCACCCCTGTAGTGACAATAAAACATTCGACCAGATGCACGGACGAGACAAATTGTTTATCACGAACGCACAGCATGGCTAATGCTCATCGACACACAACTAATTATCGATGCGACAGGACAACTGCATGCGTCAGTTGAACTGCGATCGAAGTGGTCGACGTATAGTTTAGTTACAGAGCAACTCGCAGTATACAAGGTAACTAAAACAGCATGTTTAATGCTCTTCGACCCACAAGTAACTATCGATGCGACAGAACAACTGCACACGACAGTTGAATTGCGATCGAAGTGTGGACGGTATATAATTTAGTTTCAGAACGACTCGTCGTATCCAAGGTAACTAAAACAGCATGTTTAATGCTCTTCGACCCACAAGTAAGGATCGATGCGACCGGACAACTGCACACGTCAGTTGAACTGCGATCAAAGTGGTCGACGTATAGTTAAGTTACAGAGCAACTCCCAGTATACAAGGTAACTAAAATAGCATGTGTAATGCTCTTCGACCCACAAGTAAGTATCGATGCGACAGGACAACTGCACACGTCAGTTGAATTGCGATCGAAGCGTGGTCGGCTTATAATGTAGTTACAGAACGACTCGTTGTATCCAAGGTAACGAAAAATAGCATGGTTAATGCTCTTCGACACACAACTAATTATCGATGCGACAAGACAACTGCACACGTCAGATGAATTGCGATCGAAGTGTGGTCGGCGCACCCCCAGGGCCAGATGTAGAGGCTGCAGAGTCCAGGGATCCACCCGATGACCTACTTTGCTTGTAGCGCCGGTCAGTAGCCCGCTTTGCCAACGCACGAAGATACCAATTAAAGTGATCACATTCTTTACGTTTATCCCATGAACACGTTGAAAATCCGTCCTTAGTTATGCAGGAAGGACAATACTTGTGAGGATCTACTTTAGACAGTATACTTTGACACGAGGCAGAAAAGCCCGACATGTTGCCACGTGTATAATCAAGTCAAACAGTGAAACACGTGTTGAACACAAACAATGGATTACCAAGGATTACATTCCAGGAGTCTACAGGTAAGACATATTATTATTACTGTATTAGAACAACAACTGTAGACCCACGATAAGTACTAGTAGAATACAAACTAGCTATAGCAGTCTATCGCGAAAGTCCTTCTCGAGCGACCAGCTCAGAGGCGCCCTGATAGATTTGTGGCATGTCATAGGGAGGTGCGTGCGCAACCGGACGGAAACAAGTTTATTGTTTACATTCCAGCTTCTGGCTTCCTTTTAACGTGCGACTGAGGTATGAGATACCCATTTGTACGACTGAAAACAGACTAAAACATATGCCGTCTGTCCACAAGCGTACGTTTTAGAGGGCGTGTGAAGAAAAAGCCGTTCCGATATCAAAAGTATTTCATAATGTATTCTATTTGTTTTAAAAATCAGTTAATATATCTCATTTTATGCTGCAATTGTTAACTATTATAAATAAACAAATATACCAAATCTACTACGAACGCCACAGAAAACTACAATCCGGTAAAGTGCACAGGAACTCAGGAAGTGTAAATAAAACTCATCCAGAAGCAGGGAAGACACTTGTAACATATCACCATATTCCTGATGTTCACAAAATATATCTCCAGATTAACTTCATATCTTATAATAAGTCCAGACTAGATTTACTTGCAAAAATGCATGATCACCGACTGGTGTAAATGCTTTACTATTCGCCAGAAAGAAAATGACGCCATATTAATGTTTTTATTTCATGTAAATTCGCTACTATTTTATAATGCTAATAGTTCCAATGAATTAGAAATACACATTAAACTACGAGCGTTGTTAAATGAATTTTCGATGTGTCCGACAATGGGCTTCGAAAGAATCAAATGTTATTGGTTAATGCCAGTTTGGGGCTAGCAGTGATAATGGGGTTTGCCGGAGCGAGGTATGTTTTTTTTCAAAGGGAGGCTACTGTTAAATTCCAAAGCAAAGAGGACGATTGTAATTTTACAATCGTTATTCGATATTACCCGATACAATATTATCAGCATACAAATAATCAGATATTTCAGGTATAACAATATAGCTTCAACGAGCATGGTACCAGATATGTACTAGTATATCGTAAACTGTAGTAACGTTTGTTGTTTTCAAAATTCTTTCATCATAGTTTTCTATATCTGATCAATGAAAAACAAACTTTAAACTCTAACCTGGAATGAAGCATGCAACTATTACTATTAAAACAAAACAAAACATCACAAACTCTGACATATATAAATGTATTTTTCACAGAAAAGGACAATAGACCATCTATATATTTTACTGAATGACACCTTCGACCTTGTTGTCTGGAACTTCTCTCCCGACAACTGCTGATATAATCCTTCTTCTTTCTTGGCATTTACAAAGCAAATGATAATTTTATTATACAAATATTTCATGTAATGGATTTTTGTTTTTGTATGATGTTTTCATTGTTGTGTAAATACACAAAGTAAGTAGTACCTTCATCATATTTACATTATTATGATTGGGTTTAGGCCAATATCATTTTGCTCATAATCAATATTTACACGGCATAAAATAAATAATTGATTAAATGTAGTCATGATTTATACAGACAAAATCTACAGAAGATAACAAATATGTTGTATTGTAGTATGTAGTATATGCGCATATGTGATAGAAGCCTAACTGAAACAAAGTTAAACTTACGAAGAAATGGCGAAAGCAATGGTAAAAAAATACGCGTTTTACAAAAACAATTCTAATATCATACAATATAAGTCAATTTGTAGAATGTTTCAAAGGATATATGCGGATGATAATCACAGACAAAATGCATGTTATGTCGTCTGCTATATGGTAATTTAACTTAAAATATGTGATGTAAAATATGGCCTTGCGCCAAAAATCATACCAAAAAAACTACCGATTGTACCTAAATAACGTTGGTACCAAGCCAAGGGGGAAATCGTGATGAATGTAAAACTATTAAATTCAGGACCGATAATAGGAACACATTCGTCGGAAAGCATGCGAAAATTAAGAGTTGTGATGTAATTATTTCGGGAAAATTCAGATTTAGTACCATTTCTGGAGTCAAAATCTGAAATTTCGCATCCGCCCTAAATTTGTTAACGGCACTAAGCCAATTTTTAACATATCACCTTTTTATACACCTAGGTAACCAAGGACTTTCATTGCGAATTAGAGGCCGTTATTGAAAATCAAAATCTGCACTTTTGCCGATTTTACATGTGCGCCATTTTGTTCTTTCGGCCAAAGACAAAGCGTGATCACAGTCATCAAATACAGTGACAACGACATGCTTTAGGGCACCAACAAATCTCAGTTGTAATGTTAACAATGTTAAGAAATACATAAGTGTAATTATGTATTGTGAAATCTTTTGCATGGGAAAAAAAGGCAACAACGATGACTGCAGTGAACGCGTTTCTGCTCGCTTCCGGACAGGCTGCGCAGTACAAGCCGTAGCACTGATGGTTTCGCGCATAGGCTAGAGGGCCGTCCCTCTATTATATGGTCTCTGATCTCACCCTGTGTCTCACTGAACACAAACCATGTCACTGTCAAAATAGACATCACATCTCACCCTGTGTCTCCCTGAACACAAACCATGTCACTGTCAAAATAGACATCACATCTCACCCTGTGTCCTCCTGAACACAAACCATGTCACTGTCAAAATAGACATCACATCTCACCCTGTGTCTCACTGAACACAAACCATGTCACTGTCAAAATAGACATCACATCTCACCCTGTGTCCTCCTGAACACAAACCATGTCACTGTCAAAATACACATCACAACAACTCACCCTGTGTGCCCCTGAACACAAACCATGTCACTATCAAAATAGACATCACATCTCACCCTGTGTCTCCCTGAACACAAACCATGTCACTGTCAAAATAGACATCACATCTCACCCTGTGTCTCCCTGAACACAAACCATGTCACTGTCAAAATAGACATCACATCTCATCCTGTGTCTCCCTGAACACAAACCATGTCACTGTCAAAATACAACAATTAATGGTGAATGGAGAACCAGATGGACGATGGGCAACAAGCAATGACATAAGGTCACTTGACTTTCAGTCAGGTAAGCTAAAACTTGATTTGAAGATTTGACTTACGTCAAAGCTGACTGATTGTCTTTAACAATGAAAACTGACTATGACAACTCACTCTCCAAATGGGATGTATTCTGACTCTGTGATGCTGGTCTCTGCATTGGATGAGTTCTTCCTCTGCCACTGTTTGCTGGTCAGTGACAGTCCCTACACAAACATCACACAAATCAGTGCATAAAATCTTATCGGTTATCTATGTATTTTCCAAACCGTTAATTTTCTCTATTTTTCAGGTAAAAATACATATTGTATTTGGAGGAGAAAAAAGAAATGACTTTTTGAGTCTGTTTGCACATTTTGTGTTTGCACTTTCATTTTTTAAATTTCATGATTTCACAATCATATTCATGCATATATTAAATAATTATCATAAGTAACAAACATACTCACAAAATTTGCACACTGTCTCAAGCGACACTTTTGCCTGATTTTGTTTGGTCCACCAAACTTTTTCATATCCTGAGATACAATGAAAGAGAATGAACATAAACAGCATTACAACTATGTTTCTGGCATGTGTGGTGACTCCCTTGTAGACCCCCCTTGTTTTCAAAATTAAACGGTCCTGATGATCCATGAAGTTTTCTCCCATAGTTTATGAACTAACGGACTGTCAAAATCTTCAATCATTTACATTATGGTAATGACAATGGCTCCTTGCCTTTGATCCTTAATTTTGAACATGTGACACTGCACAAATATTAAGTCCTAATAACAGCCCATATGCTGCTCAAATACAAGGAGGGGGTCAAATATTAAGTCCTAATTACAGCCCATATGCTGCTCAATACAAGTAGGGGGTCAAATATTAAGTCCTAATAACAGCCCATATGCTGCTCAAATACCAGGAGGGGGTCAAATATTAAGTCCTAATAACAGCTCATATGCTGCTCAAATACCAGGAGGGGGTCAAATATTAAGTCCTAAAACAGCCCATATGCTGCTCAAATACCAGGAGGGGGTCAAATATTAAGTCCTAATAACAGCCCATATGCTGCTCAAATACAAGTAGGGGGTCAAATATTAAGTCCTAATAACAGCCCATATGCTGCTCAAATACCAGGAGGGGGTAAAATATTAAGTCCTAATAACAGCCCATATGCTGCTCAAATACCAGGAGGGGATCAAATATTAAGTCCCAATAACAGCCAACATGCTGCTCAAATACAAGTAGGGGGTCAAATATTTAGTCCTAATAACAGCCCATATGCTGCACAAGTACCAGGAGGGGATCAAATAATAAGTCCTAATAACAGCTCATATGCTGCTCAAATACCAGGAGGGGGTCAAATATTAAGTCCTAATAACAGCCCATACTTGAAACTTGAAACATGATAAGTATGCTGCTCTCAGAGCCCATAGAGACCACAATGCTGATCTAGACCGCTTTAGATATTTTAGACGCTTGTTTAAGAAAAGTTTCAATTCCAAAAAACAGCAGTATCTACAAACTCAGAGGGACAAATTAGTCGCAGCTAGATCTGACCCAAGTCTTTTCTGGAAAATCATTAAAGAAAACAAATTTGGTAACACAATTTCTGAAAAGATTTCATGCCAGCAATTTTATCCACTGACAATAGCACCCAGAATCCACTCTATGATGATTCTGCCCCCTCTGCCTCCGATAGTTTAAACCATCCCATCTCTGAACAAGAAGTATTATCCCACATCAAAAATCTACCTAACAACAAATCCCCAGGTCCAGATGGCATACCAAATGAATTTATTAAATCCTGCAGTAACCTTCTTGAACCTATTCTCACCAAGATTTTTAATCAAATATTCTCTACTGGTTCCTTCCCATCTTCATTGGGTAAGAGTATAATCTGTCCATTACATAAATCTGGTGATAAATCAAATACAGACAACTACAGAGGAATATCTCTTATAGATACTTTATGCAAGGTTTTTACATCTATCCTAAACAGCAGATTACAGCAATGGTGAGACACCAATAACATCCTCAGTGAAGCTCAGGCTGGTTTTAGAACTGACTATTCTACTATTGACCATATTTTTACATTACAAGCTATTACAACAAAATATTCTGGCAAAAAGAAGGGAAGATTTTACTGCCTCTTTATTGATTTTTCGAAAGCTTTCGACACTGTAAAACATGATGTTCTGTTAGATTCAATAAAGAAAGTAGGTATATCAGGTCCCATTTATAATGTCCTAGTTTCCATGTACAGTGGTTTATCAGCCTGTGTAAGATCAGCCAAAGGTTTATCTCAAGTGTTTCCATGTAATGTAGGTACTCGCCAAGGTTGTGTCTTAAGCCCACAAATGTTCTTAATTTTTATTAATAATTTGTCCACCGTATTTGAGGAATTAGGTGGTAAAGATATTCATATTTCTCCTGATATAGATAATTTATGTGCTCTTCTTTTTGCTGATGATGTTTCTGCTCTCTCAGATAGTTGTGCCCAGCTTCAAAAGAAAATTAATGCTTTGGATATATTTTGTAATAAAACAGGCATGCAAATTAACTTTAAAAAACCAAAAGTAATTGTATTTAGGCAAGGTGGCCATCCTCGCAGTAATGAAAAGTGGTTTATCATGGTGAACCTATTGAAACTGTTTCAAGCTATAGATATCTTGGCTTAATGTTTACACCTAAGCTTGTATGGAGTAGGCACAAACTACTCTAGCATCCCAAGCCACCAAAACAATTTTAGCCATTAACTCTTTTCAAAAGAAAATTGGTAATATCACTTGTACAGATCTGTTTAAGGTTTTTGACTCTATGGTCACCCACATCTTAACCTATGGCTCTGAAATTTGGGGTACTTGCTATTGTAAAAAAAATCAAATCTGTCCAAATCGTCTCTTGTAAGCATTATTTAAAAGTAAACAAATCAACCTGCTCAAATATGGTTTTAGGGGAATGTGGGAGGTTTCCTTTACAACTCAATTACATGACTAAAGTAATTAAATATTGGTGCAGGCTCTTACATCTTCAACCATACAGATTACCTTCCCAATGCTATTAAATGCTTAAATCTTTAGATGATGTTGGGCGGGTAACTTGGGCGACTAAAGTTAGAAATATTTTATTCCAATTTGGGTTTGGTTTTGTATGGCTCAATCAAGAGGTGGGTGACTCTAAAGCTTTTATTCTCCAATTTAAGCAAAGGCTCAAAGATAATTTACAGCAATTCTGGAGTGCTTCTGTAAACTCTTCTCCAAAATGTGATCTTTATAAGCATTTTAAATCCATGTTAAATGTTGAAAGGTACTTGTCATGTCCACTCCCTACCCATTTAAGAATTGTTTTTACTAAATTCAGATGTTCAAATTTTAAAATAGCTTTAGAAACTGGCAGATATAGTAAAACAGACCGTTCACTTAGATTCTGTAACTATTGTAGTAGTAAGGGAGTTAATGTCATTGAGGATGAATTTCATGTACTCTTTAATTGTAATTTATATTCTGCCCTAAGACAAAAATACCTTGTTAATCTTCCTATGCCTACTCATTACAGTAATTCTCATGTAATAAATATTCTTAGTAATTATAATGAGCAAACATTATTTCTAGTTTGTAAATTCTTATATTATGCTCACAAAATAATTAATGACAAATTCTGTGCCCTGTAAATGTCATGCTCACATGTCTGTATTTTGGGCCATTGGCTTTTTACTGAATAAACATGTCTGTCTGTCTGTCTGTCTGTCTGTCTGTCAAATACCAGGAGGGGGTCAAATATAGCTCATATGCTGCTCAAATACCAGGAGGGGGTCAAATATTAAGTCCTATTAACAGCTCATATGCTGCTCAAATACCAGTATTAAGGTCCCAAGTTGGTTATTCTGGTTACACAATATGGACACAAAAAAGCCTCCAATGTCTCAAATCACATGCCAGAAACAAATATGATCTTTGTGATGATCTTTGTGATGATTGATTGTAACAACTTGCATTCAAGGATAACAATCATAATAGACCTTAAGTTTACCATAAGATTTTCGAAACTATTAAAAGCTTGTCGCTTATGGAACAAAGCTAAGATGCCCAGTGTATAACTGACAGAAAACCCACTTGTGTTCAATATTGAAAAATGACTAATAAACTCAAGTGGATTTCCCAGCTGCATGGAAGTTCCATTGAAATGTAACACTGACTTTGTGATTGTCTGTCATCAGGTCACATTTTTTAACACATATCTATTTGATCACACAATAAATCATAAAACTGAACTACTACACATTATAATCTCTCTTGTGTCTAAAGAACAGATCCTACGCATATCTTTCACATCTGCAAAATGTACTTCTTTTTCACACAAAATTAACATATCAACATCCAGTAATTTGGTATGATGAATCAGACATTATAAAGAGTTATATTTGCCTTTACACTTCCAGCAATAAGTCCAAAGCCCAAATCTAGCAAAATTCTGATCAGTCTTGTGAGCTCCGTTAATAATAGTCCATATAATAATCCTAAAATCTAGAAGCTGATGCTTTAGAGCCAACTGTTGCAGACTGAAAAAGTTTAGGAACAGACTGCTGACATGTCTCCTTTTATGATGAATATCTCAAGACTGGCCTGTGTCAAGTTGTTATCGCTCACCTTACAGAAATCACATCTTCCACAGTCCTCCTTTCTGTGGCATGATGCACACTCTCCACACCGGCGTGTAGATTTTTTCTGCTTCTTTTGCTGGAATACACAGAATTAACCTCCTACATAGAATGGGTCAAGGAGCTTGCAGTTGTCCTGTTGCAGGGACGGCAAGGTGGGACCACCATGGATGGTCATTATACATATTGGAGTACAAGCAGAATATGTAATGGTTGTCTTCTCAGCTCACATTAACCTGAAGTCCTAATGGGGTTCCCATATGGCTGACAATTTTGAATGGTAAGCCATAATCGGGTGGTGGAAAATCATTGCCCAACTTACCAGACTCATTACGTGAGATTGCCAGACAATCAAAAACAAATCAGCTCCAGCTGTCCACAGACTACCTTACAATTTAGGAGACAGTGGGTCAATGCTGATAAATTATATGTAACAAGCACTGAATACATGTTTGAAAAAACTGTAAACATAACAAGTATGACCACTCCAAAGATGGCAAATTAATCAAAATGAAATTGCAGGCTGTTATTTGACCTACTTTGTGATAAAAAACACCATTTTTAGGTAAAAAATCTTGACAAGTGAATTTTTACTTCTTATTTTTTGTCTTGGAACAAGTTCACAATTTTGATATTTGCATGCCTCTGCTTTCAGTAAGTATCACCACCACCCTTGACAGAGTTAGGCACTCTACTTTGTACAACATATTGATTACAAACTGGCCTCACTTGTTATGATGCAGCCTCCATTATGTAGGGTATTGTATCATATTTCATTCTTACCATTTTATTCACAGATGACAAAATAAGTACCTATATATGATTAGGACATGAAGTGAGGGAACAGGGCATGATCAGTACATTTCCTAACAGGTGTCAATGATGTTTTCAACATTGACAACTTTCAGAATTGTTCATTAAAATTGATCATGAAATACATTATAGACTTTCAATAAGTATATTTCTCACCTTATACCATTTGTTCAGTTAGGCAGTCCTGGTCACAACAACTGGCATGGCTGGTGTTGTTGTTATATTTGTTTACTCTCATAGCATATGGCATATGGACTATTTGGTTGTGGTTCGATTTCTAGGTGGATTTGAGGAATGGGCATAATGTAAAACATGTGATGCCTTGATCCTCCACTCAATCTGCATTCATTGGCTTACCATGCTGTTAGTTAAAATATTATGACAGCATGTTGTCTTCCAAGCAGTATTTCCGCATGGAATGTCGTCTACACATGTGTATATGTTACAGTCAATGTTGATAATCAGGCATTATGAAACTGACTTAAAATTTCAGTGAATATGCATATTGCCTGAAAAATGAGACAGGATTTTAGACAGATTGGCTTAAATTTTCAAAACAAATTCTTGATTTAATCTTATATTAATTTGGTTCTATTTCGATCTTATGGTGCTCAAAGTAACTTGTCTAAGTATGCAGTTTACACAAAAAATTGGATGCAATCTGAAAAAAAACCCATCACTAATTATCTTTGTTACCTTAATAAATTAAAAGTAAAACAGATTAGAAACCAAATAGTTAATTAAAGTACTGTCGGAAATCCTAGAAAAATGCTCTTCTGGCTTCATTTAATAAATACAGGTCAAATGATGATAAACTTCATGTGTTGTCATTCCTATAACCTGAGGTAATTACCTAACACCTGTCCCGAGGTGATGACCTCACACCGCCCGTACATTCTCACAGGTGCAAATGTCCCCTGAGTTGGGGGTGATCTCAAAATATTGCTGTTGTTACTTAATTGACATGTGCATTGATGGAGTAGCAATTAAGAATATGTACTGCATTATATTTGCTTGGAAAAATGATGGAATAGTTAAAAGCTGTGAAACGGGTTGAGTATTGGAAGGTTGCAGTTTTGGAATCAAGAAGTATTTGCTGTTCTACAGATGATTTCTTGAGGTAGCATCTATCTCTCCTGATGACGCATATGAATCTGTACTATCACCCAAAGGTATGATAACTGGTTCAACAAGGCTGATGTCTAGCAAAGACTGAGTTGATCCTCCCTTTGACATGTGTGAGTTTGAATGTTTTGTTATGTCTTCTCACTAACCATCCACAGTTAGCCAAGATAGGCACAATAGGTTTGAGCTCACAATGTCTGACTGGCATACTTAAGGCAATGTGACCGTATTGTTCCGCAAGGACATATGTCTTGTACTTAACTAGTTTCTTATTCAGTCAAATTTACTAGATGGTGGTTTGAAGTCGACAATGTCATATATTCCTGCATACGCAGCCTTCAGACTACTCATGGTTAGCGCAACAGTATCTGATTCCCGGACGTTAAATAAACTGACATTATCCATGACAATGACACTGAGGTTGTTTAATATAGGCAATAGCTGATGTTCCAACCAGTCTATGAACACCTCCTATAATTTCCTTATGAAAATCACCATTTTTCTTTTTCACCTCGAAAACTAGCACACATCCATCAATAAGCCCCCAGATCACAGGTTGTGGCATGCAAAACCATGACACGATTACCTTTACCTGATGGTACCGTGGGTGCTTTTTGTCCATCTGCCGATAGGCACATGCAGTCAGTGGAACGATTCATCAAAGTAAAAGATCTGGAAGCCCTGACTGCGATGAATGGTGCGGAGATAATATAACCTCATTGAGAGGATGGAATATTTTCCCCTGAAAACTGCTTGGTCATTGCCATACACAGTATCGAAATCGGCAATATTTAGTGCAGTCCTGGAAACATTAATTGTATCTTTAATTTCCTTCTGAATTTTACAAGTCTGGGGGAAAGTGCTCATAAAGCTTGTCAATATATCCTTTTATGTCCCAGTTTCGTTTTTGAGACCACCTATAAACCTTTTTGTTTTATTTATAATTTCTCAGACTTGATGTATTGAAAACCCCATAGCTTGGGCAGTCGGTAAATCTAAACTAACAAGTGCAAACGTGAGCGTGGCTCACTAATACCCCCGACCCGCCTAGTGTGTCAGTAGTTACAAATTAAATAGCTAGGATAGGGTTAGCTTTAGGGTTTGAAAAATTCATAAAAAAATGGAAAATTAATAAAAACAATTTTTTTCTTTGGACTGCACCCCTCCATATGACACAGATTATATGTACTAAGTTTGAGACGGACGTTAGGGTTTGTAAAAATGTTACATGCATCATGGGAACAGTTTTGACAAAACAAATGCAGCGTCATTTTGTTATTTTAGAAGATGCACATCTAGAGTTTTCTCAATATGATTTCTTTTGTGTGGTTTAGATATTTTATGAATCCTCCATTATTATCATTATAACAGAGTCACATACTCATATTTCTAAAGTCCATTTTAGACTGCCATCATTGGAACTTACTGTTTTCATTCAAATTTTTCTCCTGTAAACTTGTTAATAGGTCTCCTTGTGACTGAAATACTTCCAACCACAGGTAGGTCGATTGGTAGTTACTTGATATTTCAATAGCAGCAGTTTGTGAATTTTTTCATTAGTTTTTAACGGGCAAAATATTTTTCTAGCATTTCCGGTAGTACTTTAATAGTTCCATTGGAGATTAAATTCAGGTGTCTATTTCATTTCAGTATCATTTTTCAGGCAATATGTATATTGTCTTTGACAGTCCCGGTAATCCATGCTCAGAGCTCACTGATCACAATGATGTTTTTGCAAATTACAGGGTGGGTTATGAAACCACAACACAGCCTCCCTTATTCAACTAGCCAAAATAGGGGTAGGCGAAAACTTGAATATGGTCTTATGCCTGTCACACTACAGTAGTTACTATTGATAGCATCTCCTTTGACAACAACAAATCTAACATATGGTCTATTGTAATGTATGCAAACAAATGAACAGTATTGTCGGTATTTACCTTATCTCGAAGTTTGCTACTTGCATACTCTGTAAGGTAGTATTTTTCTGCATCACTGGATTCACTCTTTAACTTCTCCTTTGGCTTCTTCGGCTTATATACAACTTCTAGTGTATTGTTGACATCTGATTTGATAATAGAATCATAAGTAGCTGCAATACAGCTTCAAGGATTTTGTTGGCACTGGTGCTAGACATGTAACCCTAGTACCTGAAGACAGAAAGACACTAGCACTTTTTGTCAATAATGACTTTGGCCCTCAATTTCAGCCAATCACATTCTTGATTATTTCAAGTTGAAAAAACGGGTGCTAACTCAAACATGTCCCACCGTGGTTCAGTACACAAAGAAGAAGAGATAGCTTAAGTACCAATAACCATTCCAAAGGATATGACCTCCACTGAAGGTAACTCAGTAAACCTGGTGAACTCAGTGTACATAAATGTACAAAAATTAATCCTACAACAGTTAATACTTCTGAGTTATCATGAACATAAAATATTTTTTAAGGAATTTGACTTTCAGAGTGAATTTCAAATATTAGTTGCAAGTATTTCAAGAATAAACCAAAGGCCTTACCAGCATATATACCAATAATAATGTCCCTCAGTGTATTTCAAAGACCAGGAGAAAAGATAGCATATGCTACTCATCGGGAGTATGTCACCTTAATATCATCAGATTATCATTACTTTTTATACTCAAGTATTCAAACTATATAAACAAAATATAACAACTACATGCATAAGACTCTTAAAAACATCTGCAAAAATGGCATGGTGAAAACAGCTAACACTGTTTCATCATGTTCAATGACCAACAATAAGGAGTATGACATTAAGGACACTATGAACCTTGACGTGACCAAACATCAAAGTATTCCCATTTACTGCAAGATTATTTTGGTGTTGTTTCCTTCCAGGAACAAATAACAAAGCTCCTCTTCACTGTCACCTATCCATAGTCAGTTGTGCAAGTAATAGTATCTTGTGCACATGAAGACAGACAACCTCACTTCTTTAAATATCTGCTCTAGATGCAAATAATTGGGGAGGTGGGTGGGATTACTCCTGATGTAATAGAGGTATGTATTCTTAGAATTGTTAACAATGATAACTACTGTTTGATCATTCCTACGAATATCCTACCTCTACTGCATCATAGCCAGAACCCACCAGAGGGTTGTTGTTAGTTAGTAACTTAGTACCAAACAAACATGAAGTATTTCCAAAAGGTAATAGACTAACGATAAGGTAAATGTTGTAACCAAACACCTTAAAAGAACTAATTTAGAAGATGTGAGGGACATAAGCAAATATGCGATGAACTTCCACTGAACCTACATATTTGAGTCCCATTGCCGTGACTTTATCAGAAGACCTTCCATATTGTCTTTCAGACCTGAGGTCAGTGGTGTCACTTCTGGTTGATAAAATCACTTCCGGCGGACCTGTCATCATTCCCATGACCTTTTGATTCCATCATGAAGCTGTTGCAGGTTAAATTTGTAACTAATCTGTAATTTCTTAATCATGACATGTCACCAACTGTTCACCATACCTTATAATACTCTAATGTTATATAATACTCTTACTTGTGGTCTGCCAGGTACATCCTGGGCCCTGGCACATGCAGTCCTGCAATTGCTGTAGAGGCAGGTCACATGACTGTCCTCTATAAAAACTACATGTGCTATGGGCCCAGCACACACCATGCCGGGGCAATCTAGATGCCACATACAGTGTATAACATCTAATTTGTCATATTCACAGGTATGTTTAGTGAGAGTTGAGTGAATGTTGTATTGTGATATAACTTTAATCGTTTTATCAAAACATGCTATATGTTATTAAAGTGTGAATTATATTATAGATATTTCTACATATTACATGCTTTGATATTGAAAGAGCCATATGCCATAGGAAACATGCAAAAGTTAGTATTTTTAGTGTTTATTTCCAAACTTCCATGTTGAATTATTGATATATTGTCAATTACTGGTTTAAATAACTACATGATCTGTGTGATGAGACACAATACCGGACAATCCCGCTGCCACACATAACATCGGATTTGTTAAATTCACTGGGAGACAACCCTGTTCCGCCACTATATAGGCCCCAGGGAGACTGTTTAAGCTGGGCTGAATGTCACGCAAATAGAAGTCAATGAACATTTTGTTTTATGGTGACCGAGTTCCAAGACACTAGGCTCATGTGCTGTGAAAGATCCCAGTATTGGGGTAGATAGTTCTGTGTAAATATCTGTAATCTTGGTCTTTAACCATCCTGTGACTGTGGCCTTAGTTATGTCTTTGTCAGAGGCAGTTAAACAAGACATCCTGTTTCCTGCATCTTCTGTGAGGCTCTGGCAGATAAAACCTGAGCGCTCGGATTGGGCAGAGATAACAATCAGGCTGGTCCACAATTTTACTTAGCACAGGTATGGAATAATGTCTGTGCCTTGTTGGTCCTAGAGCCGCTGACTGGTTCATGGCTGGTTCACTCCAATCTTTTGAGTAAGTGTCCAGAGAAAGACAAACACTTTAACCTCTGACACTCTAGCTGCTGTAACCATAGCTAGTAGAAAAGCTGTCTTTCTAGTTTTCTGAAGCCAAGAGACAAGAGCCAATGGTTCATAGGCTCTTCAAGCACAGCAGAGAGTACTACTGATAGTTTCCACTTTGGAGAGGTTTGTGAAGTTCTAAGGCATTCCAGACAGAACAAACTCATAAATCTGGTTAAAATGGGTTGATTTCCTGCAGTCAAACCATCATGCTGAACCACTGAGGCTAAACCAGATCTAAATCCCTATGGTGAGTAAAGAAACTTATTACCCTGAGGGAGATGGAGTAAGAAATCTGTTGCCATAATTATTGTTACATCATCATTCCCCAGTCCCTGCCTTCTTCTCTACTGGCAGAACCTGACCCATCTGTCCTAAATGACTGATGAAGGTCTCCAAGACCTGCAGATGTAGACTTGGAGAAACTGGAATCTTGCATCTAAGAGATGATAGTTTCCAGGCATGAAGATGAAGCCTGTGGGAGACTGCCATAAATTATGTCCGATCTAGACTGACAGAGATAATCTCTACACTCCTGTAGTTCGTTATAACTTCTTGTTCTGATGACGTTTCTTCTGTTGACCTTCACATCATTCCTGTGACTAATAGCGTGATTCCTGCTGTTAACCTATATATCCAGATGACAATAATGACCTACCTTCCAAGACTGCTACTATCAGAACTCTACTCTCTGAGTAGAAGTGTAGAAGCAGGCTGACACATGTGGCACATGCAGCCTGGTAGGCAGTGTCTAGTGGTACACTAATCGGTGTCTGACATGTGCCCCACAGGTACACCGGTATATTGTGGTGCAAATCTTCAGCAATATGTGTTGTGATACGTTTGTAAATGTTGCAATATATTAGGGCAAATATAAAAACATATATTTATGTATTCCTAATTGATAGAAAATAGGAAAATAGTATCTTTCTGATACAACTTGCCTCTGACGATCTTTTTATCAATTAGCGTACACATCGCAACTATCAAGCTCCTGACAGCGACAGCCCGTTCGAGAAGCTCTCTATACTGAGAGTATAACAAAGGTGTCATGCACTGGGAAGGAGCTTGATGGTATCCGACATTAATACAGGGAATAACTCTGATTAACTAAGGAAAATGTAAATTGGCAATATATTGCAATATGTATCGCAATACAGGTTAAAGTATGGCAATATATTGCAATACAAAATCCAGGTCAATACACAGCCATACCTCTTACATTATACTACTTACGTGCATAAAAAAGTAAACTTCTCAGCAATACAGTAGGAACTACAAGTGACAAGTAAACGAAAAAACGTAACTGAAGATAATGGAACTACATTGTGACAACTACCAATAAGTGCTAAACAAAAATCTCTTGATGCTGTTGCACACAGAGAAAAGACATGAGATTTCCTGCCCATTGTGTATGTGCAAGATTTTTTGGTTTTGGTTTGTTGTTTAACGCCTCACTTTGCAATATTCCAGCTATATGACGGAGGTCTGTAAATAATCAAGTCTGGACCAGACAATCTAGTGATTGATATCATGAGCATCGATCCATGCAATTGGGATCGATGACATGCATCAACCAAGTCAACGAGCCTGACCACCCAATCCCGTTAGTCGCCTCTTATGACAAGCATAGTCGCCATTTACGGTAAGCATGGGTTGCTGAAGACCTGTTCTATGTGCAAGAGGCCTGGGCAGCAAGATACTATTATTTGCACAACTGATTATGAATAGTTAACATTGAAGAGAACTGCAGTTCAAAATCTGAAATTTTTTAAAGTATGATGACCAAGAAAATACAGGATATATGGCAATGATGGAATGTTTTGTATGCACAGGAATTACATGGTGTAACAATGGACACAGTGATGGCACAGGATCAAACTAAAATGAATCTTCATGATATTTATGAAAATATATAGGTAATCAGAGCAGTCCCATTATCTATATACTTATCTTTCCACAACATTATGCAATATTCCTTCTTGCTTTTATTATATAACAATGTAGAACATATTCAACATTGTTAAAACAATAATCCCCCAAACACACCCTCCGACCACCTGCTCCTGCACTACTCATAATTTTTTTCCCTACGAACGCCTGTAGACAGGTGACAGGTGGATCCAAACGTTGAGGGGATGGACAGACGGGCAGTCATGACGTGTTGTGTCAGGATAAGTATATAAATAAGGCGAATACTCTGATTCCCTATATTTTCTAACTTAACCCTCCACAACTGTATGCAATTATCCAGAGATGCCAACCCTAATTGAAGCTTTGGAAAAACCAGTGGGGTAAACAAATGTAATTTCATGTGAGAAAGAGTAATGTTAGAGTACCACGCCATGATGCTGTTTTTTGCTTCGACATTTTCATTTGGCCTATATGTACGTGAAGCATGAGAACACATGCATTGTTGCTAGTAATTATGGCCACATATGCAAGCCTCACTATTTAAAAAGAGGGCGATAAAGCTTTAAAATAAGCAGGAAAAAAAGCTCTGTATGGTTAAATATGACTAAACCTCGAAATTTAATATCAATCCAAACATCAACATTGAAAAAGTACTCAAAAATGGAAGTTCCATAATAGCATGTAAGGTACAAGATCCGCGTATATCCCTCCCCTCCCCAAAATATGTATACCGTATTCGACGTAATAAGCGCACAGGGCGTTCTCAAAATTAGAAAGAGGGGGCTCTTATTAGAATATAATTTTGGTGAAAGAGTTGAAAGATCGTAAATTTGTGGTTTAGGCTGACAGCCTGAAATGATAAAAAAGAAAAGTCTGTGCGTATTAGACACGCCGGATATATTTTTTAGAATTTAATTTCCCGTAATTAAGGGTGCATATAACACACGAAGGGTGCTAATTGGGATTGTTCACTAGCCAATATATTAGCAAATATCGCCGTGGGCGCTTATTACAGCGGGGCGCTTATTACATCGAATACAGTTATTAAAATACATTCATTTATAACTTTTGGAGGGGGGATACAGGCGATAAGTCTTTCCACATGTGACATCCTCATCAGTGACATGTTGCCTATTTTGAAAAACTTCGGTCATTATAGATTATAATTCGCATATGTTATTTTAGTGAGATGACAAAAAGTGTCGTAGAAATACACTGCATATTCATGCTGAAACACATGGTCAAAGCTCCACACATTCAAAAAATTAATCATATCAAATATTTATCGTAGAAGCCAAGTTTTAGGCTCAAAAGAGTAATTATTACGCCAGAGGCGTAATGGTGTGCATCTCTGAATTATCCAACAGTAGGACGGTGGGTTGGAACAACTCTCAGTCCCCTTTTGCGACTGAGTGGTCAGGCCAGAGCACAGCTAGACGAGACAGCCACTTTGCTTCAATCCATGGACGTGTTCAACTACACTAGTCCTGTAATACATCACCACCATGCCTGGTTACAGGCGAGGCTGCAAATGTCCAAGGCTGATCCATCCCAGCATGGACTTAAGCCTTAAGAATAGTGGAACGTAATCAAAACAACAGGGTATTCTTGGAGATATTCCTGCAACCCTCCTCGGTAATCGTTAGGAAAAATCGTTTACATTGATGCCGAAAAAAGACATGTGACTTCAATATAATGATGCAACACCCAAACAGGACAAAGGGAGATGTCCTCTGTGTCACCAGACCAAAGGATGATAGTCCGCGGAACGATAGTGAAAGTGCGATCTGCCTGACCTGGCAATTGATTTCTCTCAGATTAACCCAAGATAGACCTCCGCATGTTGACCACGGTCAAACTTGCTTTAGGTGATGTCGAGAGTGTTGAGTTTACTGACACATGCCGCAATGGCCAAGGACAGGAGAAAGGCAGCTTTCTGCGTAACAGGCACCAATTCTGCATTGGAAAGAGGTATGTAGGGAGAAACGAGGAAGTGATGTAGAATCAGTCCTAAGTCCCAGGCCAGAGGTCAAAACTTTATTCACTGATCAGCCTTACGGTAACCCTGTAGGATAGATGTGAGTTCAGGAGCAGTGGCAATACAGGTAGAACGGGAAGTGCCAAGGACCGAGTAATGGCCGAGACATAATTGGCAATGGTAGACTAAGAAATCAACTACTTTTAGTCACACAAAGAAGCCATAGAAGGTTTGTGTGTTTGACGAATAGCAAGAGCCGCTGGCTTAGAGAAACCCCTAGTAGACTATGCATTCTGCAAAAGGAACACATGCATAGATCCGACGACTCTAGGCACTGGTGTGGTTGATGAGTGTGTGGATTTCTGAGCAGACTGGGAAATACAGGGAGTTTTAAGTCTGGCTCTCCGGCGATTCGGAGCAGATGTTCAATGTGGATGCCGTTTTTTTTAATAACACAGGCAAGGATGCGGAGGTGAAAACCTATACACGTGGTGGCTCTGTTCCACTCGATGGCAAGTGCATTGGGATCCCCAGCCAGAGCATCCGGTATCGGTGATATGAAAGTATGAAGCTGGTGGTTGTAACGTGTTGCAAATACGTCAACATTTTGGTAGCCAAAGGTCTGGTAAATCGTCTTGTAAATGGGGTGTAAATGCCATGGGGGGGGGGGGGGGGGGGGTACTGACTGTGGTGAGATAGGGCGTCAGCAAGAATGTTGGAAATGCCTGGAATGTGATGAGCTCTCACCGCCAACGGGATGTCATCTATGAGAAGGTAGAACATGAACATGAAGACTTCATATGAACCATGAAGTCCAGGAGATATAATGAGCACTGTCCGTCGCTATCATGATGCAAGTTCCTCATAATATCGTCCCCCACGTCTGAAGGGCCAATATGACTGCTTGAAACTCCAGACAGTTGAGTTGTCAGTGGAGAACAGGGCGGTCCACAATCCTGAGGCCTGGAGGTCTTGACTTCTTGAAGTAGATTTGCCAATCCTGCACCATGTGGGGATGCGCCTTGAGAGTAGCTGGAAAAGTAGGCGGCGTCTGAGGAGGCACCTGAGGCTCCAGATCGACTGACACATTGGGGTGCGAGATCGGGCTTGCCAATAGGCATCAGTGGCAGATGACAGAAGACAAGGTGACGGTGCAGCAGGTGCCATCGTAATACCGGACAAGTTCTGGAGCAAACAGTTACGAGGGGGGATGACCGTGTAAGTGTGAGTATGGTTTATACCACTTTTAGCAATATTCCAGCAATATCACGGTAGAGGACAGCAGAAATGGTCTTCACACATTGTACCCAGGTCGGGAATCAAACCCGGGTCTTTGGTGAGACGAGCAAACGCTTTAACCACTAGGCTACCTGGCCGCCCCCTAAGAGGCGACAAAGCAGGCAAGGTAGCCCAAAGGACAGTCGGAGGCTTATGAGAGGGGTTTGAAGTCTGAATTTAGCTAGGTAAACGTTGAAAAGGTTGGAGGATAAGGGGGTACATTCAGAGCATAGCTGGTCCAAACAGCAGGGGACCCAGCAGTCAGGGCAAGGCCAAGGAGATCCTTTCTTACAATGGTAGTCCACACACTTTCGAAGATGGAGACATCATAACTGAAATAATTACATCATCCATAATATCTCAAAATCTACAACAGAAAAGGAAAATATAAAAGGACAGTATCACAAACATTAACTGAAACGCAGCTGTTCGTGTTAAAACAAGGGTAGTATAAAACATGAGAAACGGAAAACAAAACGGAGCTTTCACATGTTATGTTAAAAAATGGTGGGAAAGAAATGTGCGATAGGTAAGTAGCCGTTATTTGATATATTTATTGATAAGGAATGGCTAGGGACCTGTAGATAAATGTACATAGGGAGATATTCAATTCAAACTGAAATGACAAACAAATCCAATTGTAAATGTGGAGTGGAAGCAAACATGTCTGTTCTCACGGGGCGATAAATTAAAAAGTGATGAGAAATACAGGAGCATGCTGGGAGTGAGGTGATCAGAGGGTGTGTTCCGTTGATTACTGTTTTCACATTTTCTACACTGTTATATGATTGAAACAAGAAGGAATTTTGCATACAGTTGTGGAGGAATCAGTTGAAAACATTTTCCTGCTCATTTTGTTATTTCACTGTTAAATTCCTTATAAAAACACTTCACATTTGCAGAGGCAGTTTACATAAACCAGAAATGAACATTTAAGCAACTTACTTCTACATTTATCACAGTAATATCGTTTGATAGAGCGGGCATCTGACTGTGTGATGCCAATACAGTCCCCATGGTACCACTCCTCACAGTTATCGCACGCTCTGGAAATACAACATATCATATATCAACATACATTCCATCACCACTGAAGCAGACCCATCCCAAACATTTTCTGAGAGGCCCAAAAGTTTCCCACATGAAATATTTACAGCAGACTTCCTTCATCTTAGACTCAATATCTCACATCAATGCTTCAGTCCCAAACATGTCCTTGAACAAGTATCATCAAGTTTGCACACTAGTATGGCTACACATTCACCTTATATCTCACCTGATATCTCAAACAAAGAAATGGAGTGAGTAATATACTTTAGAATTTCTATTTTAACTCAAACCTCAACTGTGAGTATTAATTTCCCTACATACATTTAGCTGATTTATGAGAGAGAAAGATTCATAACATTTGCAGAAAGTATTTACATGTCCAAGTAAAATCACACATTCTGTATTCGGCTTTCAAAACTAACACATTTGGGAGAGTGGCCTGTTGAGGTGCATGACAAATGTTTCATTGGCTGGTATGTCGACTTGTTTGCTGCGTTTATCTATCTTGTGTTTCTCGGCCACTTTGCGTACATTGTTTCTGCTAATCCTACAGTGGTGGATTTCTTTGTTTGGGCGATAGTTTCGCTTGTCATTTTTTAATCATCGGTTTAACGCTTTTTCTGTATTTCAAAGTTAAGTTTGGTCAAACATTTGGGATTAAGTATGCCCCAAAATATTATATTACAGGATGTGTAAAGCAAGATGACTCTATTCGGGCTGCAATGATAGAGGCAGGACACGATATGATACATATCTTGATATTTTGGTCTCAACACGATATATATCTCGATACGTAACAATACAAAAAAACAGATAACAGCACTACAGCTTTTATTAAGTTTCAAGACTTCAAGCATGTCAAGATCGGACCTTTCATGATTTTGGAACAGTCAAAATTTGTTTATAAAAAGAATACTGAAGTTGTTAAGCTTCTAAGTGGAACTTTTTCTAACTTTCCTTCAAAACAACTTCAAACTGAAAACGGCAGAAAACTTCAAATTTAAAACACCAGAAAATAATCAATGTACTTCACAGTCTGAATAATTCAACTTCAGGTTCTTTTTCAGAAAAATTAAAATGTCAACATTGTAAGGGGACAATGATGCCTTCTGGGTACTGACAATGTCTCCTGTTGTTGAGTCTTAACGGAGGTGGAGTCTTAGGGGGTAGATGACCAACACAACAGTACATGCTCTGCCTACCTAACGCAATCGACAATGTACTTTTCAGAGTTTGAAAAACGATTAGAATAGTAATTGTTAATGATTCATAGTATATAATGTCTTATTGAGTGTTATAAAAAAGCCACAACGTATCCCTTCAACAAATTCAGGTGAACAAACAGCTATAACAAACTTGGTCAAAACAATTATATGAAATTAGATAAAAATCATCACTAGACACGACTCACTATTAAAATTGTACTTCCTGCTCTCCAAGGCATTTTTTATATGTTGAGATTAAGATTACCATGTGTATTTTTTTTCTAAACTATTAAAGCCAGAAATAGCAATCAGCTGTACACACGTTTTCTTCCGATCTACCAGTTAAAAAGTACCCCAACTTCAAAGAATTTTGATGCAATGGTCGGGAAGAAATTGTAACTCAAACTATTGTTTTATCAGAAATAATATACTTCAGTATCATGTTATTTTAGTTGCAGCTTTTACTGTATATATTTTGGTAAAATCTAAATACTTTTTTATGTTTGTCATACTTATCCTGCATTACTACTTAATGATTCTACTGCTATTTTCTTGACCTAGGAAACAGAGCTGTGAGAGGTCCAGGCTACAGAAAAGGTTGTACCTACCAAGTTGTGTAGCTTGCACCCTTCACAGCTGACCCCACGTGGCCTGGTGTGACGTCACGCAGTATCACATCATTGCTAGCACGGACATTTGAACTCAGCGGGGAGGTAGCAAAGCGATGGGAGGGCACTTTAGACGAAGTCATGCAGGATAAGTATTACAAATGTAAAAAATATTTAGATTTTACAATTATTTTTATCTTATCCTGCTTTACTACTTAATGCAATTTTCTCAGACAGAACTGCAGGGGGTAAATTCAGATGTTGTTGACCAAAAAACTCTCCCACCATTCCGGGTAACCAGACAGCATCCTGAGCGTAGGGTAAACCAGAAACCACAGACCTTCCTATCTGACAACACCACACAAGGTAGAGTAAGAGGAGTGATATCCAGTCATGAAACGGTAAAAGTAGAAAAGGGCGACAACCAAGTTCTCAATTCCGACACAAGTAACTGGAAGATGGATACAGGGCCCCCTAGTCTGGTGTAATAACTACCAGAGAGGCAGCAGGCTCAGTTCCTGGGTGTAGCAATCAGGTTAGCCTGGGGTTGGTGATTTTTTGTGCTACCACCAGGGGACCAAAACTAAACCACATCCTCAATAGCCACGTCTCGGAGACAATGAAGACAGCATCCGAGCGCCAAAAACAATCCTCAATGATAGTAAAAGAAGACTCAAGTCACCGGTCATCTCCAGAATCACACTCGTCCCACTGCCATACTCCGGGCGTAGCCATTTCCAAGTGGCTCAAGTCGCCGGTCAACTCAAGCGATGTTTAGTTGTTCAGATCAAAACAATAACTGACAACACAACGGTATTACTATGATGACATCACAACACTCACACAACCATTCCAAACAACGTTAACATTGCGTTCTATTTATAGTAATACTTCCGGGTTTAGAGTTCCCTCCCTTTCATCATTCCTCCCTCTCAGATACAATCATACATAATAAGAAATTAGACATTGATTAAACAAATGATGATAATACAGTATTATTTACAGGTAAGCATAAAACAGATGAATTTGAAAATTACAAATACAACACTATTAATAATTAATTGCATTTACATATTGTCAAACATGCCAATAAAGGCATTTTCACTAGAAATACAGTCAATGTAAACATGATAGTCACTCTGAATGTCTCTGGCAATTGTCTGTTGAATTTTGTTTCACGACACTTGCTTGGAACACATCGTCAAGTCCCAACACAATGTCACTTGCACCTCCTGGAATGTTGATGCTGCCTGTAGAGTTGTCAATATCAGGTGAATCTGAAGATTGACATTCAGTGTCCACATTCACAACACAGTCTCTAGCACTATCACTACCACTACTACTTGTAGTCAAGTGGTTCGGTCTCTCAAAATGTCTTTTCAGCTTTCGGTGATTGATGACACGAGAGCGTCCATTTCCTTCACAGGGGTGAATACGGTAAGTTTTTTCACCGATTTGGCTATCAACGTGGTAAGGCCCTTCCCATCTTTCCGAGATGAGTTTCCGAGATGTTCCGTGCACTTGCTGAGGATGATATAGCCACACTTTTTCACCTTCTTTGAATGGAGTAAACTTGGTATGTTGTTTCTATTCACACCTCTGCTCTTGCTCTTTCAAAATCTTCTCTCTCACAGTCTTCAGCAATTCCACTAATTCAGTCAGTTTAGCTGATGAATCAGTCACCGGTTTCTGATTTTGTCTCTAGGGGATTGGCCAAGCACAATCTTGAATGGGGTCTCTTCTGTAACCTTATTTGTTGATGTGTGAATAGCTGACAATGCTGACAGTAATTTCTCATCCCAATCCTTTTGGTCATGAGCTTCTATTAGAAGAGCTAGTCTTTCAGCTAGAGTTCTATTCATTCTTTCAACCTGTCCATTGCACTGTGGGTTGTATGGAGAGGTTCTTGTTCTTTTAATGCCTAGCTTGCTGCACAACTCTTGGAGAAGTTTAGCTTCAAAGTTCCAATCTTGGTCAGAGTGTAGTCCCTCTGGCAGTCCATAGCGGCACACAATTTCGTTATATATAATTGTAGCAGTTGTTTCAGCCGACTGATCAGGTACCGCAAATGCCTCTACCCATTTGCTGAAAGGATCACACAGCACAAACAAGTATCGATTACCCCGTTGTGTTGTTGGAAGTGGGCCAGCAAAGTCCATGTTCCACCACAAGAATGATTGATCTGGGATAATCGTCTTCCCCTCAGGTGTTCGGTCTGGCAGTGAAGGATTTTTCCTCTTTAGGCAAGTAACACAGGACATGCACCACTCTCTTACATTGTGTCACCATCCAAACCAGAAGAATTTCTTCTGCACAGCAGCAATAGTCCTATCAATTCCAAAATGGCTATTTCCATCATGAAGAGCCCTTGAAATCCCCTCTGCTGCTGATTGAGTGCAAATCACTCTTTTCACACTGTCAATGGTTTTCAGCACAAGCACATTGTTGCACAGTTCAAGCTTATCACCATCACTCTAATAAAGCTCTTCACATCTCGCTTGATATCGCTTGGTCTCTTGTGATCAGTTACCCACTGTTGCAGTACTGTGATATCTGCATCTGTCTCTTGCATGTGAATCAGTTCCTCCATTGAGAATAAACTTGGTATGGCGATTGCGTCCACTTGAGGTGCCCTTGACAGTGCATCCGGAACTTGTGTATCCTTGCCTGGTCTATGTTAGATCGTAAAATCAAAATTCTCCAGAGCAACCCTCCACCAGAGACCATATAATAGAGGGACGGCCCTCTAGCCTATGCGCTAAACCGAAACTGAGATTTGTTGGTGCCCTAAAGCGTGTCGTTGTCACTGTATTTGATGACTGTGATCACGCTTTGTCTTTGTCCGAGAGAACAAAATGGCGCACATGTAAAATCGGCAAAAGTGCAGATTTTGATTTTCAATAACGGCCTCTAATTCGCAATGAAAGTCCTTGGTTACCTAGGTGTATAAAAAGGAGATATGTTAAAAATTGGTTTAGTGCCATTAAAAAATTTAGGGCGGATGCGAAATTTCAGATCTTGACTCCAGAAATGGTACTAATTCTGAATTTTCCCGAAATAATTACATCACAACTCTTAATTTTCGCATGCTTTCAGACGAATGTGTTCCTATTATCGGTCCTGAATTAAATAGTTTTACATTCATCATGATTTCCCCTTTGGCTTGGTACCAAAGTTATTTAGGTACGATCGGTAGTTTTTTATTTTTGGGTGCAAGGCCATAATTTACGTCACATATTTTAAATTAAATTACCATATAGCAGACGACATAACATGCATTTTGTCTGTGATTATCATCCACATATATCATTTGAAACATTCTACAAAGTGACTTATATTGTATGATATTAGAATTGTTTTTGTAAGACGCGTGTATTTTTTACCATTGCTTTCGCCATTTCTTCGTAAGTTTAACTTTGTTTCAGTTAGGCTTCTATCACATATCGCGCATATACTACATACTACATACTACAATACAACATATTTGTTATCTTCTGTCGATTTTGTCTGTATTAATCATGACTACATTTAATCAATTATTTATTTCATGCCGTGTAAATATTGATTATGAGCAAAATGATCTTGGCCTAAACCCAATCATAATAATGTAAATATGATGAAGGTACTACTTACTTTGTGTATTTACACAACAATGAAAACATCATACAAAAATAAAAATCCGTTGCATTAAATATTAATATTATAAAATTATCATTTGCTTTGTAAATGCCAAGAAAGAAGAAGGATTATATCGGCAGTCGTTGGGAGAGAAGATCCAGACAACAAGGTCGAAGGTGTCATTCAGTAAAAAATATAGATGGCCTATTGTCCTTTTCTACAAAAAATACATTTACATATGTGATCAGTTTGTGATGTTTTGTTTTGTTTTAATAGTAATAGTTGCATGCTTCATTCCAGGTTAGAGTTTAAAGTTTGTTTTTCATTGATCAGATATAAATAGAAAACTATGATGAAACAATTTTGAAACTACAAACATTACTACAGTTTACGATATACTAGTACCGGGGTATATATCTGGTACCATGCTCGTTGAAGCTATATTGTTATACCTGAAATACCTAATTATTTGTATGCTGAAATATCAATCTAATAGGGTAATATTAAATAACGATTGTAAAATTACAATCGTCCTCTTTGCTTTGGAAAGTAGCCTCCCTTTGAAAAAAACTTATCTCGCTCCGGCAAACCCCATTATCACTGCTAGCCCCAAACTGGCATCAACCAATAACATTTGATTCCTTCGAAGCCCATTGTCGGACACATCGAAAATTCATTTAACAACACCCATAGTTTAATGTGTATTTTTAATTCATTGGAACTATTAGCATTATAAAATAGTCGCGAATTTACATGAAATTAAAACATTAATATGGCGTCATTTTTTTTCTGGCTAATAGTAAAGCATTTACACCAGTCGGTGATCATGCATTTTTGCAAGTAAATCTAGTCTGGACTTATTATAAGATATGAAGTTAATCTGGAGATATATTTTGTGAACATCGAGAATATGGTGATATGTTACAAGTGTCTACCCTGCTTCTGGATGAGTTTTATTTACACTTCCTGAGTTCCTGTGCACTTTACCGGATTGTAGTTTTCTGTGGCGTTCGTAGTAGATTTGGTATATTTGTTTATTTATAATAGTTAACAATTGTAGCATAAAATGAGATATATTAACTGATTTTTAAAACAAATATAATACGTTATAAAATACTTTTGATATCGGAACGGCTTTTTCTTCACACGCCCTCTAAAACGTACGCTTGTGGACAGACGGCATGTTTTCATTTCCTATCTTTTTCTTTGAGTGAAACTTTTTGGGAGGTATTACCAGCGGCTTGGTAGCGGTAACATCACTGTCATTCTATTTAGACCAAGAGTCATCCGAAACCAACCCCTGGTCGAAGAGTGGGAATTTTTCAAGTGGCATATTTAGGTCCAAGACGAAATCGTCCCAGTGAATGAAGTCGTCCATGGCTGTGGCGAATGTAAATTGAAATAAATGTCCCGGAAGACACACATGTTCAGCAAATAATTTGCAGCCAACTGACATGTGCTAATGAGAGATATCATAAAAAAATCTTTGTAATCCGCTAAGAGACGTCCTTTTATTGGATTGTCGCTGACCGTAGTCGGAGAAATGTCGGCTAAGGGAATTAACTCTTGACCCGGATATTATGTAATATTGTTGACGTGGTTACCTGAATGGTCAGTCGTGAATGTCTGCGCATCTATTGCTCATCTGCAGCGGTACAGGGAGGTTAACAGCAGGGTGTCGGGGTGTATCAGTTACATGCCAGACCGTAGCGCTGATGGTTAGTGATAAACTGTTGGTGAGGGCCGTCCCTCTATTATATGGTCTCTGCCTCCACCTTGCAAGTTTACCTCTTGGCTCTTTCAGACTGAAAAGATATGTCAGTGGCTTGTGGTCTGTTATAACTGTAAACTGGTTTCCCTCAAGGTAAACAGCAAACTTGTCCAGCGCCCACACAATGGCAAGACACTCTTTCTCTGTAGCGGAATAGTTCTTTTCAGCTCCTGTCAGTGCTCTTCACCCTCCCAACTTGCGTAAAGATGGCCCCTAAGCCGACATCACTCGCATCAGTCTCAACCACAAACTTCTTGGTAAAATCAGGATAAGCCAAAATAGGAGCTGACAACAGTTTCTCTTTTAGGTACACAAAAGATGACTCACATTCATTTGTCCACTTAAATACAATGTTTTTTGTGTCAAATCTGTCAGAGGCTTCACAATGTCAGCAAATCCATGAATGAATCTTCTATAGTATGATACCATACCGACAAACCTCCCCACTTCAGCTGCACTTCCAGGTCTTGGAAACTGTCTGATAGCATTAACCTTGCCAGGGTTAGGGTTAACACCTTCTGTGTTAATAATGTGTCCCAGGTATTTAAATTCTGTCCTTGCAAATGCACACTTTTTGGGGTTCAATTTCAGTCCAGCTTAGTAAAATCTAAATATCTTTTACATTTGTATACTTATCCTGCATTACTCCTTAATGCATTCACTGCTTACCTTGCAACAAAAAAACTGGGACAGCGTACCGGCGATGGTCCTTGGGTGAAGGCTCTGTTCCGCAATCCCACTTTTACACCCCGCCGTCACTGTCCCTGTGACCTCACGTGACCAAAGGTCAACTCTTCACATCACTGCCTGTCGCCCGAGCTTAAAAAACATACTTTTTAGGTTTCTGAAGCCAAAGTGGGGAGGCAAGTCTGCGACGGGTGGGCCTTAAACATAGTAATGCAGGATAAGTATACAAATGTAAAAAATATTTAGATTTTACTAAATTGTTTACTTATCCTGCATTACTCCTTAATGCATCTGTATCGGACAATTTGGAGGTGGGAAATCCTCACAATACAGAAACCTCAATAATTCACACCCTGAAAATACGACACAGATTGGTCAGTAAACCGTTAAGCGGAAAAGTTGAGAGAAAACGCTAATACAGTAGGTTTTTACAATGTGGCAAACAATTGCACATGGGGGTAAAGAGCAGTTCCCTATACATTTTTAGTAATAAAGACAACGAGCTCATCAGCCAAATCTTTACTTACTATATAATTAAAGCCCTGATGACAATAACTTGTCTTCCACTGGCGAAATCTGATCGATTACACCAAACAGGAAAGGCTCTGTATAGGGTGAGTACATTATTTGCGTCGAGGGTTGGTAACTTGCTGAGCTACAACCAACGGCCCAAAACTCCGTACACCTTCAATGTCCTCGAGAGTCACTTCGCGAAGATAATGACTAGCGAAAACTGTGTCAGACCTCCAAAAACATCCTTCCATGATTGTCTTAATAGTACAATTGCTGTGTAAGGCCATGGTAGAGGCCAATGCCCTGATCTCATGAGGATTATTCGTTCTTGGCGGATCCAAATTGGCGATCGAATAGGCCTGAAGGATGACTGCGCGTAACCATAAAGATATGGTGTTGACCTCGGTTGTGGACGTAGTAGATACAGGTATAAATAACCGCTTCCTCGAACCACGCCTAGTCTTGGAACGGCGGATGAAAATTTGCAGTGCCCGTACCGGACATAATAGAAGTTCACCCTCATCCTCACTGCCCACAATCGTCGAGATTGATGGAATGGTGAAGGAACGATCAGGTTGGCCTGGTAATTGATTTTTGGCAATAAAATCCCAGCACAACCCGAGATGTACCGCTCCGTGCGTCCCATGCTCAAAATGAACCCGGGTGATGTCGATTGCATGTAATTCGCTCACCCGTGCCGCTGTGGCTAATGCCAAGAGAAACATTGTTTTCTTGGTGAGGTCATGAAAGGAGGATGCATTGAGGGGCTCAAATGGGGGTCCTCGCAAACCTCGAAGTACCACGTTCAGATCCCACGCAGGTGGGCGGAACTTGGTCTTCTGATCCTCAAGCCTGAATGAGCATAATAAGGCCTGTAGTTCCGGGATCTTAGTAATCTTACGATTATCCGGAACGGCCAACACTGAGTTAAGTGCAACCAAGTACGTGGTAATAGTGCTACCTTTCAAGTGTCTATGGGTACGCAAATGTAGGAGGTATTCAGCTAAAAACTGAGGTGATGCAGTAAAAGGGCCTTGACCTTTTGCCTTGCAAAATGTTTCCAACGATCCCCACTTGTCATCGTAAAGGCCTCTAGTAGAGGCATGATGAGCTAACGTTATAGCTTTTGCTGTTGAGCCGAATAGCCCTTTGCACTTAATGCCTTCTTAAGACGAACCAACCGTGCAGACGAAATCTGTCTGGTGTTGGATGAGGCAATTTGCTGTGAGGGTGGATAAGTAGGTTAAACCACTGTGGGAGGGGTAGTGGATCGTTTTCTGCTAGCTTTATGAGCTTGACGAACCACCCTCTCGCTGGCCACCAGGGCGCGACCAAAGTCAGAGCAAGTATTCTTGTCTCTTTGATCTTTTGTATTACCCTGGGAAGTAGAACTGGTGGCGAAAATGCATACGCTTTTAGTCCTTCCCAAGGAATGCTGAATGCGTCCACCGCCCAAGCCTTCGGATCTGGTAACGGGGAGACATACATCAAGAGTTGGTGATTTTGGCAAGTTGCAAACAGGTCGATGTTTGGTTGCCCGAACTTCCGAAGCAATAATTGGAATGCTTCTGTGTGAAGTTTCCACTCGGTGGGTGCTACCCTGTCTGGGCGTGATAGAGCATCGGCCAGAATGTTTCGACATCCGGGGATGTGCTGAACTATGAACTGTAGTTGCAGCCGATCCACTAGATGGAAAAACCTGAATGTCTGTTGAAGTAGCGAGTGGGAGTGTGTTGTTCCCTGATTGCGCAGGCACCACTCCACAGTGCTGTTGTCTGTGGATATGGAGAGTTGGGTTGATTGTAGTTGATTCTGCCAATGGGATATGGCGAGAATTATGGCTTCCAACTCCAGATTGTTTATGTGCCATTTCCGATGAGCGCTTGACCATAGCCCTGAGACTGTCTGGTGTTGTAGGTGAGCACCCCACCCCTGAAGGGAGGCGTCTACGAATAGGTGTAGATTCAGATAAAGAGATTCCTCCTAAGACATTCGACTCTATCGTCCACCAAAGGAGGAAAGGTCTCAAATGCGTTAGTAGCATGATGGCCTTGAGTGGATCTTGACTCCTGATGTAGGGATTCAGGAATTGTTGTATTGGGCGTAACTGTAACGGCCTCTGTTGGTTAGGTCCTGGACTGAGGTGAGTAACCCTAGCAACACTTGCCATTGCTGAAGTGTGCGTGGTTGACAAAGAGCAGGTGACAGGAGGCGTAAATTCTTGTGCCATCTGTCCCTCGTGACTGACAGGAGGTTCTGATCTGTTTAAAATAGTCCTCCTATGAACTGGAGTCGAAATGATGGAGTTAACTCCGACTTTGCCTCGTTGATTATCCAACCCAGTTGATATAGTAGCCTTCTGGTGAATTCCCGGTGGCATACTAACGTCGTTGTGTTTTGATGACACAGGAGACAGTCGTCTATGTACGACTCAAACCAAATGTTCCTCAGGTGTAGAAACGCAGTTATGGGCTTCATTATTCGTGTAAATAGCCACGGGGCCACTGAAATGCCAAATGGGAGTACTGCCCACTGGTAGTGGACCCCATTGAACTGGAACCTGAGGAATCTGCGATCGTTGGGATGGATCGGTATGTGCAGATATGCATCCTGTAGATCGATACTGATCAAGGAATCGAACGCTTTTATGCTGGTTCTGAGTAGTCTCAATGTAATGAAGTGGAAATAGGGTGGACGCTTCAGAAAACGCTCATTGAAAACAGAGAGATTGTGTATCATTCTCATCTTGTCTGAGCCCTTCTTGGGTACCAGGAAGATGTGAGAATAAAACCCCGGAGTTAGCGCTGGGGTGTGTATAATCTCTACTGCTCTTTTTTCCAATAGTAAGTCTATGTTGGCCTTTAACCCTTTCGCCCCGACTGCCCGATTTATCGGGCAGCATAAAGCGTGTCCCATTACCCGGCTGCCCGAAAAATCGGGCGGCTATTGTCCAAGCCCCACACACGGCTGCCCGATAAATCGGGCGGCGCGACCGTGTTTACAAAATCGCTCTTTCAACTTCCTTTCTCGTGTGTAATCTCGTTCTAAATATGGAAACGAGATCTACACGTGATTGACACGTCATTCGATGGAATTTCCCAGTCTTTTTGGCGCGAAAATCGCGAATGTCACCTGTTTTCGCGACAGGTATTTTTTCTCGCTTGAATCGTAAATCTAGCGTCATGGCGGCCAACTACGATTCGGATAGCGATCAGATGACTAACAACGACTCTATCGGGAATAATAATGTGTTTGATTTGAATAATTTACGTGAAGGGGAGAGGGAATTTCGTGAAGATTTTGGTGAAGATTTTGACGGTTTCGACGAGGTGTCCCCCCCCCCCCCCGCCAACTTTCAAGAATGGGAGTGGCAGAGGGACCACAACGGTGGAGACATGAGGGATTTTGAAGAGGCGACCGGACTCAAGAATATATATTGACACGGTGAGTGATATATAGTGCTATTGATTTTTTCCAACTGTTTTACAATGATTCTGTGTTTGAACAGATTATCAGTGCGACGAATGAGAATGCAGCCTACAGGTGAACGAGCGATCACAACAACAACAAAGGTGAATGGCATGACGTATCTCTTTCTTTTTTTTAAAATTTAAGTTTCTGATCGCAATCCAAATTGTAGTTTGCCAGTTTGTCGTATGTCCTTATATTTCGCTCAATTTGAATAAAATTTATTTCCATATTCATGTTAGTTTTCTTGTTTTTTACATCTTAATTTAAATTTTAGTAACAGTAATGATTATTTATTTATTAATTGATGTAATAATGTACTGATTTAATTTATTATGCAATTGTAAATAACAGTGTATTGTAAATATGTTATCACAACTTGTATATTTGCAGAACTTGAATTTACGATCTTTCCGTCCTTTTACAATTTTTCCCTCCTTTCAGATCAATCTGTGATATCTTCACTGTGATGTCATTCTTATAGGAGCTGTGGTTCAATGTTCAGGTAATGTGATAAATTACTATTTAAAAACTTAAAAACTTAATTTTTGTTTCAAATCCTGAAAAAGAACAAAATAAATCAAATATTTGTGTTTTTACCTGTGTTAACGAGTTTACCTGCGTTAACAAGTTTACCTGTGTTAACGAGTTTACCTAAGAGGCTGTAAGTGTATCATAAGTAATATGTGACATCAGTATAGAAAACAAAGTCAGTACCAAGAGTTGTAAACTTGTTTATTTGTTTACAGATGTGCATGAAGAGAATTTACCTGTAACACCTGGGATTACCTGTGCCGTCCAAGATGACAAGACCACTGTGTTATGTTTACCTTGTATCTGTGATTTATTTTTGTGATTTGTAATACAATTTGAGCCAAAATTCATTGTCTGTTTTCATTTTTTCAGTGTTTTCAAGTTTTATTTCACTTGTAAACACCTGTAATTAGAAAATAACAAAGGTTAGAGACAATAACAACAAAGAATATTAAAGTATACTTAATCCTCTTTACAATGGTATATGATAAATGTATATTAAAAGCAAGTTTCTGGTAGAAAAAGTGCATCAAAAATGATAGTGTGATTTTCCAATAATACTGCCAGGGAGGCCAGTGTACAGGCCTTGTCAGTGTCAGGGACTGCAGGGTCTCAAGGGACATAACTCTGGGGCAGCCAGTGATGAAAGAGTTAAAAGGATATGTTGCTTCCTTGGATAAATCCAAGGGATGGGAGCCGTGGTCAACGGAGGAAAAACCTCTATGTCTAGTTGGTAACCGTGGCGTAGAATGTTGAGAACATAATCGTCCCTGAGGATGCTCCAGTTCTTCCAAAACCGATTCAGTCTCCCGCCTACAGGGGTATCAACAATTGGGACGACTGGGGGTAGGAGATCCCAGTCGTGACTGTCCAACATTTCAATGTTTGCCCCTCCTATCGCCTCCCTTACTGTGGTAATTACCACGTCCGGATTGATAAGAACCCTGGGGTTTGTCTCTGCCAAGCCCTTTACCACGAAAGGAATCTTGCACCTGTCCTTCCTTATGAGAATCACGTCTAGGCCTGTAGTTGCCTGACTTGCCTGATCGCTGGGAAAAATTCTGAGAAACATGCTCCAAAGCCTTGAGTGCTGTTTCATCCCTAGCGTAACTGGAAATCTTGGCATGTGTGTCTGAAATCTGTTCCTTGAACAGAGATGAGGAAGACCAAGGTTGACGTAGCAATCTGCGCTTAAACTCTGAGTCCCAAGTAGATAGGGCTAAATAACCCAGTCTCCGAGTGACAGTTATTTCTGCCAACGCAGCTTTAAGATGATTCCTCATATGGTCAATCTGATGCTGTTGAAAATCAACTATAGTTCGGAGGTGATCTAGTCGGTTAGGATTATCCTCTGACAGATCCTGCTCTACCACCCGAGTAGACGATGCTAATGCTGATAAAGGTTTTAATACCCTTCGAATTTCTGTTTCAATAAACGCAACTCTGGTATCCTGAACCTTAAGAGTGGTAGGCCTTGACGAACCTGCCATTCTCTGTATATCCTCATCCAAACTATGTGCCTGGTTTGCTGCCTCAAAGCCATGAATAGGAAATTCATCTTTCCTAAACCTGGGAGGTTTGAATGACAGCGAAAGTGTTAGCCTGAAGAAGTCCTCATCCAAAGATCTAATCATATCTGACATCATAGGGCCAATCGGAATCGACGTAGGATGTGTCCAAATAGTATCTTTTTCATCTACCCCACTACCCGGAGAAGGTACTGAAATGAGGCGGTCAGCTACCCAATCAGGTACTTGAGCCAGGCTAAGGTGAGTATTCCATTCAGTCGAGGAATCTCCCTCCTCACCATTAGAAAAATCTGATGAATCACAACGATGTTGATGTGTACGTCTAGATGGTGAACGACTTCTACTCCGATGTGCAGTATTACCTCTGACCGAGGGCTTAGATGAACTGCCTTGTGAAAAGGAATCATGAGTTGATGTGACAGTTACAGCCGACCTATTATCCCTCAAAGATAAAGGTTGAGTCATAATGATCGAATCCTGTCCCTCGCTCATTCGCGATAGAGACATTTTCCTTTTCTCACGACGTGATTGCTGCAAAATACGTTTGTGAGTAACCTGCCTATACCTCGCGAAACTCGTTGGAGAGAGGTTTATACAAAAAACCACATTTAGAATTTGGTTCACAAATTTGCGTACACGTCAAACAACGTGGATGAGGATCTTTCATAGATTTTTTTCCACGACAATTAGTACAACACGCAAGCATAAGTAACGCAATAATATACTAGAAGAAAAAGGGACTGGAATTTACTGCCGTAGATAATAATTTCTCGACAAAATTTTGGAACGAGTTGAAAGTGTATAAATGATTGAATATACGCAACTCAATGAACCGCCAAAGCTAGTAGTATTGAAAACAACATATGAAATATGTTATACATACAAAGCCGATAATTGTAAACAATTGACTACCTTTGCCAACAATTGTAACACAATTCAAAATGGCGGGGAACAGATAGCACGTGGTGGGAAAAAAAAAGACAGTCTTTTTTTCTGCCTCAAAACATCAAATACAACTTCACAACATGTTGAAAGTAATATGAAAAGAATACATCACCAATCGCAGAAGTATTTAGAATGGTAGACGAATTGGAAGGTCTAAATAAATCAAAAACCGAGAGCTCCGCTGGAAACGTCCTAGCTGTGTCGCGACAGGCAGTGACGTGAAGAGTTGACCTTTGGTCACGTGAGGTCACAGGAACAGGGACGGCGGGGTGTAAAAGTGGGATTGCAGAACAGAGCCTTCACCCAAGGACCATCGCCGGTACACTGTCCCAGTTTTTTTGTTGCAAGGTAAGCAGTGAATGCATTAAGGAGTAATGCAGGATAAGTAAAAAATATCTCTAATTCTTTTGAAAACAAGGTTCAAATGTTCCACATGTACATCCAAGCTTCGCAAATACACAATCACATCGTCTAGGTAGATCAGCAAAATCTCCCAATTGAGGTCACCAAAATCAGTCATCATGAGACGTTGAAAAGTCGCGGGTGCACCTTTTAGACCAAAAGGCATAACATTGAACTCAAATAGTCCTTTGTGAAGGTAAATGCAGTCTTCTCTGTCTTTTTCTTTAAAAGGCACCTGGTAGTAAGCTTTGTTAATGTCCAAGGTCGAGAAGATTCGAGCTTGTCCAAAGGCTTCCAGACTGTCATCAATCCTAGGAAGAGGAAAACTGTCACCGATAGTCCGATCATTGGTAGATCTGAAGTCCACACAATACCTTGTCGTTAAATCAGATTTCCTTACTAGAACAAGAGGACTAGACCATGGACTCTTACTTGGCCTGATGATCCCCCGTTGTAAGACGTCATCCACAAACTCAGAAATCCTTTCCAACACATCATGTGACACTCGACGAGGTTTATGAGACACAGGAGGATGCATTTCTAGTTGGTATTGAATGTTCAATAACGGTTGTGTGGCCTATTTCACCTTCCATTGAAAACACGTCGCCATTATCTTGTATTATCTTGTAGATGCACTTTTTGTCATTTTCAGCTAAATGAGAATTATTTGACAATGTTCGAGCCATCTCGTCAACCTTCATACTCCTGTTTGGCTCGTTGTCGCTGTTGATTTGAAGACTTGCAATAACAGCTGAATCATCAGAAGTGGGTGAAAATGTTGCAACCACCGATCCAGCAGTTAACTCAGTTGTGGTATTGTAGGGGTTGGTGAGGTGAAGTAGCACTTTGTTGTTGTTTCGCACTGTATCGAGTACTCAACCACACCCTATTCCAAAACGGTCACGTCCAAAAATGCTTGTTGACTCTAGCACACCTGTTATACCTGGTGAGTTCCATGTACAATATTCATACTTCTGGGTGGCACTTTAACTGAATGTTCCATGTACACATTACACACACTGACTGTTGGTGAAATATGAGACACTGAAGCATGAGTATTACTGTTCTTCTGAGAAACATGCGATGAATCATACAGAATGTCAATTCCCATACTAAATTTCATATCCAGTTGTGAGAATAAGTCCATCCCAATTATAGCTGGATATATTGAATTCTTTACCACAGTGAAACGGTGTTCTTGAATTTTCTGTTTTCCTACCTTGCATGATGTAAATATATCCCTTGCAGTTCCCATATCAGCCCCTGGCACAGTATGAGGCACTACTAATGGAGGAAGTCTCTTACCTCTAGCTCGTCCTGCTAGTAGTGCTACATCTTCTGTTACAATGCTAACTTCAGCACCACAGTCAATAAGCCATTTCAATTTGTATCCCCCTAATTCACCTTCAACTTCAATTCTTCTCGCATTTTGTGAATTTACACATGTCGCCGATACCCCCTTGGTTGCCAGAGAGTCTCTGCTATCCTCACTAGCAACATCTAGTTTTCCTGACCTCTTCTGCCTGACACTGGAAATCTAGCTCTACAGTCCCTTGCCATATGACCCATTCTTCCACACCTGTCACACTTGCCGTTAAATCCTCTCCTCCCATCCTGCTGATTGCAATAACGTACAAAATGTCCCGGCTGATAACACTTGTAGCATCTATCATTCCTTGGATTATTTCTTGAAACTACTGCCACTGAAGCTGACAATTGTTCTTGATTGACAGTTAGTTCTGAGATCTTCTTAGCTAATTCCATCTGATTGAATCATGTTGTTGCAAGCAGTTTCCCTCTCTACTTGTTCTGCTTTCCTAACCAGTTCATCAAAGGTTACATCATCTGACACTAGCCATGATAATTTCTGTCTCACCTCAGGTGTCAGTGCTCTCCTGTAATGAGCAATCTGTAGCGCTGACCGTGATGCATCATCGGTAACATCCGGAAATGCCTTGGCAACTAGATCCATGATTGAATACTTGAGTTTCACAGCCGTTTCTCCCTTCCTCTGCTTCCTATCTGACAATTCTTGTTGAAAAGTCACTGATGATCTCGCCAGTCTGAAGCGCTTCACGAATGCTAATTTTACTGATCCATACCTTGACCGCTGATCCGCCGATAATGAAAAACCACTTCGCCTCACCTTTCAATGACAAATGAGTGAGTGAGTGAGTGAGTGAGTTTTACGCCGCTTTTAGCAATATTCCAGCAATATCACGGCAGGGGACACCAGAAATGGGCTTTAACTAACGCTTTAATGTCGGGATTCGAACCCAGGTCTTCGGCGTGACGAGCGTACGCTTTAACCACTAGGCTACCCGACCGCCCCCTCAATGACAAACAAGTATTTGTCACAGAGTGACGAAATATCCCCCGCCTGTACACCATAGTACCAAATATGAAGACAA